GTTTGTTGAGATTAGTTTGGTTGTTTTGGTGCTATGAATGTCCAAATGATGGCCCACTTTGTTGAGCTCTCATTTGTGGCCAAGTCGCTTCTGAAAAAATAAGTGAAATGCCTCAGTGGGCTTTGTCTTGTAGGATGTGGGATGGTTTTGTTGTATTTGTGTTTGGGTGATTTGTTGACCTTTCTTGTACGTTGCACTACTATCGTGTGTTTGTACTGGACACCTGTGAAAAAGAACTTTATAGCTCATCGGATTCCTCCACTAGAAATAAATATTCGCATTCTGACTGATAATATTCCTGAACTGTAGGAGTTGCTTCAAGTTGTTAAGTCCTCGTTTTACCGCAAGTCAGCTCACATGGTTAAGCATAAATCAACTAAAAAAAATGTCTTGACATAAAAAAATGTCTTGACATTTTTTTGGGAGTTGACATCGTTATTAAAGCGTATAACAGTTCACCCCGACTGAGAGTTTGATAAATTGTCGCGATTTCGGGAGTCGTAATTCAATTGCGAAAATCTTTACGGGTTGTATATTTTTTCTTTGTTTAAACGCCATGGCGAATTGCAGCCCCCACGATGCCGTCGGCTGCAGAGGTCACACAAAACAATTTCTTGCAACACGTACAGGGCAATAAAAAATAAACTCGACACATTCCTCAACACTGCTTTAAAACCACAAAGTATAGCCCGCACTAGACCGGTTACTAGGAATCACTGGAACAGGTGTCTGTCCTTTGAGGCCTCCTTGCAGGAGTGTACACAGATCTGGCGAGACCGTCAGTCTGGCCCAAGGTAGTTTCCACTGAGGCCTATTCAATTCAAATTTATACGCGGCACCTATGTTAACATGTTAAAACAATTCAACTGTTTTTATTTTAGCAGGTAATGTCCACTGGGCTATATAGCTCTTTTTCAGAAGCGACCTGGCCACAAATGATAGTCCAACGAAGTGCCTTATCATGTGGAAATGCTTAGCGGCCAAATACTCTAAATGCACGTTGATTCTAAATGTGGAGGGAAAACTGGAGGACCCGGAAAAAAAATCCATGTGACCATGAGAACATGCAAACTTCAAATATACAGCAAGCGTCGGGGTTAGGATCGAACCCACGACCTCCTGTATACCATACTCTTTGGTTCTTTCGGTAAAGTCACGTAGGTATAAAATAAAATAAGATTAAATCACGATGTTACGGGCGCAACACAAGCGTACGTCATCAGGTGGGACCTGTATACCAGGCGAGGTAGTTAACATCCTGCCACTGCTTATGACCAATGATAGAAGAGCGAAATTCATGGAGGTGTCCCCGGATTATCCCAGATGTCCCCCGGGGTACGTTTCAGTCCTACCTCCATGCACCTTTTAGCTATACCCAGACGTTGCAAAACTCTCCCGGGAGATCGCAGACTTTCTTTTTGAACAAGCGTCTTGTCGTACCAATCTCACCCCTTCAGTTCAATCGACTCTGTGGGGCCTGAAACACGACGCACTGCCAAAACGTCAACACGCTCTACTTCAAACCTTTAATATTACGGCCAAAAGAAGACCATATGGCTAACTGGATAGGTCCTGACCCCCCCCCCCCCCCTTTGTGGAAGCAGTGGAGCAAGCACCCCTTTTAGCCCAAGCTACTATCAAGCCACTGAAGCCACACGCTTGAAGGGAGGGAATGGAAGTTCGAGACCAGGTTCGGTCTCCCTTCCTACGAAACCTAAAACGAGGGGAGCAGGGGACGAGGAGGTCGGAAGATGGGGATGGGTGTAAAGAGGGGCAGCGCCCCGCAGCCATGAACGAGCGGGGAGCGGACCCATGAGCGGTGGAAGGTTAGCGCATGAGCCCATATTCCGCATGTATATTATTTTATTTGTAGGGTTTATCTTTCCTCCCCTCTTTGCTCACTCTCCCCCTTCTCTCCCCGGCCCTTGGTCTTCCCTCAGTATGTTAGTTGCCTTTTTCATCTTCCCCCTTTTCCCTCCCCTCCCCTCCATATAAATCCTCATGCTCCTACGCGTGGTCAGTGATGGACTGGGACAAAAAATCGTCCCAGGTATTTGTAAACACACCGGGCCTAAATTGCCGTGCGATCTCATTGGCCCATTTGGGGCTGGGTCCAACAAACAAACGGGCCGGTGAGGAAGAATCTTTGGGGCTGCCGAATATACGGGGACTTAATGCAAACTGAGAGCGTAAATACGCAATGAAGCGTACACATTAGAGCTTATAAAATATTTCGATTTAAAGCTTTCGTGACTGCAGGGATACATCTTCTTGGTTCTTTCGGTAAAGTCACGTAGAAGGGAAGTAATAAAATAATAAAAATAAAACATAATAATATAATAAAATAAGTTGTTTTATATAATAAAATAAATTCCTTTATTATGTTTTATTTTTATTATTTTATTACTTCCCTTCTACGTGACTTTACCGAAAGAACCAAGAAGATTATAAAATATTGTAATAAAAAAGCCCTATGTTTTGCTCCGATCAAATTCGCAATTTCCCCATATAGACCGGCCCACCGGCCCTCAGAATGGACCGGCCGACTGGGGCCTTTTCTCTATGGACTGCTGCCCTATGGCCAGTCCGGGCCTGCACGTGGTCCCTACTTGGCTGGGGCAGCGAGTCCAATCCACCCCCCCCCTACCCCCCACGTATGATTCTCGCCACGCCGAATTGGAGTTGCTGTTCACGGAGTTTCCGTTCCTCCTCCAATGGCAATAGCGGTATTGTCTCGGAGCTCATGTTGTGTCGTGATGAAAAAGAAAAAAATTATGCAATAGAGAGGCTGCGAAGAAGGGGCATTTCCCGCAACGTCACCTATTATGTACTGGTCTTGTTTAAGGCCACAGTGTCGTTGACGAACAGTGGTTGAATTTTCATTTGTTGTCTGTGATTGTGTACTACCGCCAATGCAAGCAGCAGCATCGTCAAACAATTTGTCACAACACATACCGACTTGAAAATTAGCGATTCTTACAGACGCGATATGATGCAGCCATCGTGAGCGTAACAATCGATCTTAACGGAATAATCGACGCATTGTTAACGTGTCTAATACTGCAGTGGAATGGTAGCGGTTAGCCCTGGCCTTGGTTAAATTTGCCACGCGTTTTTTTTTTGTGGGGGAAAAAAAAAAGCATTTTAAAGCTATTGCGAAGGCCTTTGGCAGTTGTTCCAGTGTTGTACTGTGTTGGACTGACGATTTCGTACTCAAAACAAGCGTGTTTTTTTGTCTATTTATGAGACAACTGTCAAATGTTAGCAAGGAATCGGTACAAATACTCAGTAAGGCTGTCGTTTTGTCATGAACTCGTGAATAATTCATGCTCACGGCTCTTGTGACTTGTTTTCGGAAAATAACTTCATGTACAGCCTACTTCTCACGGAATAATTAATACCAAAGTTTGGGTTGTGTGAAGGTTTGTTTAACATTTTGCAGCACTTATAAACATGGCGAAACTCTGGAAAATAACTAATGTATATGTAGTGACATCGCGGGATGTCACTGTGCAATGCCGGGCCTACAGAGGCACGGCGTGCAGTGCATTGACATCGTGGACACCACGAGGATGTGGGTGCAGTACCGGCCCTAGAGGGGATCGGTCAGCGCTGATTGACAGCGCTGGATGGCATCACGCTTGGCGTACAATGCCAGCATGAGAGGACCGGGTGGGAGAGTGCTTGCCAAAGGAAAGGTGTTACTGGAGGCCGTGGCACTCTGGTTGACCCAAGAGGACACGTGACCAGTTAAGTCTACAGAGGGCCCCCCAGTGGGGGCTTGAGGTGGTCACGTGGTCAGGGTCCAGATCCTGCTAGAGGATTCCAGAAGGTGGTCATGGCCAAGCGCGGAGCCAGCCACGCCATCAGAGAATATTAGCCAGGTTCCCCAGAGAGGACCTGCGTTGTTGTTCATCCTGAAGAAGCCTTCAGTCTACGTTCTACGTCCTACAGAGTCTCCAACACGTGGACCTGGACCCAAGCTGTGGTCCGGTCCATTGTAGCAGTTACGGTGTAATTAGTGTAGTTAGCCTGCTGGTCACCACCATAGGTTGCTATTCTGTTGAGGGGCAGTTACCTCGTGTGTTGGTGTTAATAAATGTGTTGCCTCCAAGGAGTACGTCTGCGACTCAGTTGAACTCACTACATATACATTCTGCGGCCTGAGCTATCTGTGTTGTTTTGCTATTTCCTAGGCGCACAGTGGTTTGTTTTGAAGGCTTGCGCAATCGTTGTTTGAATTACATCCAAAGACCGTTTTTCTTCGAATGTCAGTTCCCTCTCACCCCCGCGTTAACTTCCCCTTGGCTTGAGGCTCAATGAGATAACTTAAACCACACAGGCGCCTTGAGCCCCAAAACATGTGTCCTTATTCGCTGGGACTATCCCTTTCCTGTTTTCCAGTGAGGTCAGCGTGTGTTGGAATTTTGCACACAAGCAAGCCTTGGCTTGACATTTTCACTGTCAGCTTAACCCCACACCACCCCGCTCGCACCCCGCCCCCCCCCCCCACCCGGCCATTACAGATTGACCGTGTGGTGCCAATGGTTTTTAACAACGCACCCAAAGTGAGAGGTCTCACCAGAGATTTATATTAATTTAATGTAATTGTATTTGTTGTTAAATGAATAACATGGTACAAATGAAACGTTACATATTTTTATCATTTCTTTATATCAAATGAGCAAAAGGTAAAGGTGCAGCCCTGAGCTTTCCTGCTCCTGCCACTGCTGTGGGATAAGCCTCCACTAGAGGGAGCTCTAGAGAGCACCTCTTTCTATAGAGAGATTATTTTGGCCTACTCTTCCATGCCTGCCAGACGACGTCTTGGAAGAAGTGTTGGCATCCACACGCGCTTCTCCAGCACACTCGATCCGCCCATCACGAAACTGGGGTTCGTTACAGATAGTTGGTCATCGATGTAAATGCATTACCGCCTCATCACCTGCATTCCTGTTTGGATGTTAATGATATTTAAACGTCTTTTGTTTAATTTTCAGGATTTACGTTGATGTCAGAAGACAAAGGACGCCTCCACAATGGCAGTCACTTCTGGCCCCAGTAAACTTCAGAGGTGAAGTGATTTTTAATGTGTTTTACAAATGTGTTTTCCGTCTTGCATGTTCCCTGCAGGTTGTTCTAGCAGCGTGTGTGCCCTTGCCTTCGTAATTCTATTTGAGTCTGACCATGACACCTTCTCCACATGGATTCTGACCACTGCATTAATGTCATAGTGAAAATCATCATAACTCTGGTCTATTCTCACATATAAATAGAAACAAAAATTCAGTCCGTTATCGTTTTTCCACTTTAACATTATCGAGCAGCATTTGTGGACCAGTTTCGACCTTCTGAGTCTCATCAGTGACGTGACCCAGTGGTAGCGCGTTCAGCCGCTTGTTGCAGAGGCTCCCGGTTCGAATCCAGCGGCTGCTCCTGGTTAATACCTGCAGGTGTAAGAACCGTGAATATACTACACTGACGGTTAAAGATCCGGTAATGTCATTCTTAAGAGTAGGCCGATGTGTGCCCGATCGTTATGGTCCAATTTTTGCAAAGTAAAAAAAAATCATAAAATTTGTTGTCCCCTACTGCAAAAATCTGGCAGAATTTTCCCGAGAAATAATAATTAGATTCAATGAGGCTTTCCTGGGTAAAATAAAGCTCAACAATAATAATACTAATCAGCAGAGTCAGGCTTATTAACCAAATGCTGCTGGCATAGCAGATGTTGTTGGCAAGAGCACTCCATCTAAACTATGCGACCTTGTTGCGCACAGTACTGCTTGCGTGTGCTGAGCTGTGTTGACTTGCGCCGGGAGGACAGCGGTGTTTTTCCATCGTGGTAAAAGTTTGCGTGCGGACGGGCGTGCCCGTTCTTGCGTGTCAAAGCGCAAGAGCAATCCGCGTTGAAATTGCCACACACCTGTGCAGCAGCAGTCACCAATCTCCCCGCGTGCGATTCCTATTCATACCGTGCGCTTCGGTGACAGCTGTGGTTATTTCCCTTCACCTGCCAATCTAGGGGCCTCCCCTAGGTCAACTAATCTAAAATGAATCAACACCAACGCGAGACGGAACCGGACTTAAATGGCCAGGTGGGGTGTTTGCCCAACCGTCCATCCCCTTGCGTGTTGTATCAGCCCTGACAGGTGCTCAATGTTGGTTTAGCCCCAACGGCATAAAGCGGACAGCAGGTGACCACTCGTTTGGATTTGTAATCGGGTGACTTAGAATTTCGTCAGTATGGTTTTGATTTATATAGTGTTTACGTGTGACTTCGTCTCAACCTTCTGTACCAAGAGAGTAGGCTTTTTTACATTTGTTATTGAGAGAGGCAGTCCATCATAGGCAGAGGAAAAAAGGAGAGTCTGGACTTGGACAGAGGCAGGGAGTCCACAGCACGGATGGCTGGGTGAAAGGACTTCCACAATAGGGGCAGAAGAAGCGAAGATGCAGAAACCTCATTTTGTGGAGAGTTCTGAGAGTATGTAGATGAGAGCAGAATGAGATCAGAGGAGAGAGGTGGGAGATTGTGTGGGAGAGTACAATGATAGGAGAGAGGTAGGAGAGTGCGTGGAGAAGAATAGAGTGAGAGTAGAGGGGAGAGGTTGCACTTTGTGTGGAGGTGAGTAGAGTGAGATGAGAGGGCAGAGGTAGGAGAAGTGTGTGGAGTAGAGCAAGGCCAGAGGTCGCAACTGGGTACCCGATACCCGTACCCTACCCGATACCCGGCTACCCGTACCCGGCCTGGTACGGGTACTGGGTACCCGTTTGCGACCTTGGTGCGGCCGGGTACGGGTAGGCCGTGAGTCACTGGTGAGTCACCGTTTGTCACTCATTTCCCAACGTCTTGTCTCTTCTCACAATTCAAGTTCCTAGAATCAACCCACCCACGCCTGCAACATGGCTTCATCCGGGTACGGGTAGCCGGGTATCGGGTAGGGTACGGGTACGGGTACCCGTTTTCGACCCTGGTGCGGCCGGGTACGGGTAAGGAATCAAAACCCGTTTGCGACCTCTGGAGCGAGCTGAGAGGAAATAAAACGGCAGTGTGTGGAGGTGGCAGTGATCTGAGACGGAGGAAGCAGGCATGAGCGGTGCCACTGGGTATCTTGACGACGGTGAATGCGATCTTCAAATTGACATTGAGCATTCTGTCCATCGCACGCAGGATGATGGACGAGTCCGGCTGCGAGCCCGACTACGATGAGCTGGAGGAGCGGCCCCCGCCGGCGCGCTCCTGGTGCCTGCCGCGGCAGCCGTCGCGACGCAACATCAGCGTCCTCGACCGCCTCATCCTCTCGCACCCCGTGTGGCTGCAGCTCACCGTGAACCCCGCCAAGGCCATGCACATCTTGCAGAGGGAGCCCTGCGGGGTGAGACTGCACGCAGATTGCTGAGGGAAGAGAGTTCCACTCAATGGGGGGGGGGTGGGGGAGCAGGAGAATGAGCGACCTCCCGCTGAGCTAAGTTTGCCGTCGTATGAATGGGCCAGATTGCGCTGTACGGTCGATAATTTTAAAAGATGACCCGCTGGCTCGGAGGTCAGGCGAAAAAGTGATTCCCTCTGCTGCGTGACCAGGGGTCGCTTGCAGCGATTTCAGAAGTTCTGAGATTTCCACTTCTGCGGGACATTCTCTAAACGATGAAGGTTGCAATGTTGTGCGAGAGATCTTGCACCCTATTTTGTCCTGAGGTGGGGCGTTGGTAAAGCGGTTGGCGCATTGCTCGTAAACACACGGCATTCCTGAGTTCGAATCCCGGCCATGGCGCTAACATCAGTGCTGGTCCTGAGTCCACCCCCGCTTCACCAACTCCCACACTGAGCAGCATGGTGAAGTATGGTCAGACATGCCCTCTGACTGATATTTTGTATTGAACCCAGGCTTTTTTAGTGAGAAGATCATCCACCATTCAGAAGAAAATTCTTTCCGTGCGTCTCTCGAGCGAGGAAGGATCCTGCTTCGTCAAAGACTTTGCCATCATCGAAACGCAGTCAAGTGAGTGGCTGGAAACAGTTAGACGATACACTTCCACAGGGGTCCTGTCAGTCACAGTTTCCCCCATGTTAACGCGGCGCTGCTAAGTTTTATTTTGGAGATTTAGTGGCTTTAGTTTCCGGCCAGATGGTTTTTCGCAGAGTGAAATCTTGTCGGCACGCCAGCATCCAGTCGGGTCCATCTCGGGTCCGACCCAGGTAACAAGAGTTGTTGGTTAGATTTAATTTTCTCCAACCAGTTGTGAACTGAAAGAGACCAGGGTTTGCCCCATTTGCAAGAGTGACCTGGGGCATCGGTCTGCCAGGATGGGGTGACGATTGCTACGTATAGTCTCGATTGAGTAAGTTTGCCATGTAATTATCGAATATGGCAAATTTGGATCTTGATGTTCCTCCTCCGGCTCAACACGAATCGTCAAAGAGCCTTTGCTCGCCATCCCCTGTACCTCAACAACAGTGATCACTGCCAGATTAAGCCAGTGCGGGGCCTGTAGCATGTGTTATAAAGGGTCCCTAAATAAGAAAAAAACACAAATATTAAAACACACATTTTTTACTTGCATAGTAAAGTAATTGTATTTTTTCATTTTTTATACAGCCAGATAATACGGCAAATCACTAACCTTAAACACCCAGTCGTTCGGTATAGTAATAGAGCAAGTGCAGAATCACTGAACCGAAATTGATAGCTTGAAAGCATTTAGCGCGGGGCCCTTGAAAGTGCGGGCCCATAGCATATGCTACTTTTTCTACTAGGATAATCCGGCACTGACACCGATGCCATTCCCCATGGTTGATGCAAAGCAAATGTGATTTTTGTTACGTAGCGTTCTGGGGAAATGCGTGCGTGCTCTTTCTGGCGACCTCGCTCGTTACTGCCGCCCGCTGCTGTTTGCTTGGCGACGATATTGTTCGTGCCTGCTCGCTCGTGGCCTCTGGCGCTGCGCCATCGACCCGCGATAGCAAAAGCTCTTTAAATGTTTTGATGAAATGTTTTATTTTTTTCACGAAATTTGCAGTGGACGAGCAAACAAACAAAAGTGTTGTCGTATTTTGAATTTTTTTTCTCATTTCTTCTCCCCCCCCCTCCTCTTCTCCCCCTGTTGTTATAAAAGCTTTCTCTCTGGAGGGATCCAGTATTAGTTTTGCCGACCTTTTCCGCCTCGTTGCCTTCTACTGTGTAAGCAGGTGGGTTCGAAAACTCGCAGTCCACCAATAACACGGCGCTGTTTTACGCCTCGTTTAGTGCATGCAAAGAATGCGTGGAAACATCAACAGCTGACTAACACTGAAAACACGTTGAGGTTTGTGGCCATGGACTGGTTGAATGAGGTTTTGTTTTTTTGCTCAGAATAAGTTTCAATTTGTATACTGAACTTTGCATAATTGAGTTGGTTTATGTTAACATTGTTAAAAAATGGTCTACCTACCAAATCAGTGGTGGTACGATGGTTACCGCACTGCGCTATGAACCTGGATAACTTAGGTTTGATACCTGGCCATGGCTGATATCAGTAGCGAGTGCTGTCTGAACCGGTTCTTGCTCCCGCCCCGTTCACCATCGTGCACTGATGAGCATGGTGAAGTATGGTCAAACAACTGTCATGACAGACATTCAGGGATGGCCTTCATTCAGCATTGTATTTACAAATTACTATAAGTATTCATGTTAAGCTTTTTTCGAAGATATGTGCCTTATTTATGTTGACTACAGTAATTGTATTTTCATTGTATTGATGTTAGGCTAAAGTTCGCTCGTAACTAATTTTATGATGTTTTGACTGTACCTCTTACGCATAAAACGCTTTATCTACCTCGCATATAAATTAATTGTGATGATCGGATGCTCTAAGCTGTCCTGTAATCCAGTGTATTTACGTGACCACCACGCTGTGCGGTTACCTAGCAGGCCTAGTGCAGGGTTGCCACCTGTGAGTAGGTACAGTACAATAAACAGGGACGTATCGTGCGAAGCCGAAGAATGTCTCGCAATACCAGGAGACAGGTTGGGGGAGGGGGGAGGGAGACTCCATTTAAATACATCATCCCGATCCGAATTCGCGCCCAAGTCGGCAAGCCAAGTTCCAAACTGGCCACGTGGCAGTCCATTACTCCACAAAAGTAGAGGGCTTACTGCGACCGCTGCGGCGAAAGGCAGACGGCGTGACACCTCTTGCTCTGCACTGCGTGAGATGTCACCTGCGGGGCAACCTGCCATCGCTAAGATGCGCTCGCCACCGGAAAGTCGTTTGACTTTGGTGGGCGGACACGGGAGAGGAGATCATCTCGAGCGGTGTATTGTTTACGCAACTGCCAGAAAAAAACCGCAGGACTTTAACATCCGGGAAGACGTACACAGATTTCCGAGAACAGCTACGTCAACAATAAGAACGTTCCTGGTACAACCGAGACGACAGGTGGCAACCCTAGCCAGGAGCAGCGGCGCGTTGTCATTGCAGCGTTAATGCAACTCGTGCGTAGCACCGGGACGCTCAGCGGAGGGTTGTGTGGGGTAATGCGGAGGGGATGGGGGGGAAGGGGGTGGGCAGCCTTTTTCAAAGAGATTTTACTCGAGAGCCTGGCTTGTTGTGTGTTTCGCGGGGCCTGCTGATGTCGTGAGTTTTGTGAGTCCGAGTGCCTGCCATTCCGCTCACCCCCCCCCCCCCAGGGACGTGCTGCCCTTCACACTCAAGCTGCCGCACGCCATTGACGCCGCCACGTCCGCCAAGGAGCTTGAGGCCATTTCTCACCTGGGAATAGGTGCGTGCGCCGGCAATGCTATCGTTCGCTCTGTCACAGCCCGTTAGGGGCCATTCGGGTTGTTGATTTATTTGTTCATTACTACCACCCAGTAAATCGCTATGACGTTCAAAGGATATAAACCGAGGTTATTGCTTCGAGATTGCTACGGGAATTTATGATAGAGCGTGTGTAACATTTCCGCACCAATTCTAAACTCACGTTTGTGAAAGTATTCCAAGTTTTCATCCTTTGTTTGTACTCGTGTAGTGACAATATGTAGACCGTTTTACGTTGCTTGCGCATCGTGAATACAAATTGGTCGACGTTGTTAGAAAAGGGTTTACACGTTTCGTTACCTGTGTATTTCACAGCTTATTCATAGTTTTTATAAATTATTTCTTTTAACGTTCTTTTTGTTGGCGCACCACTTCACCTATATCTGTGGGAAATATCGAACTGAAGGATTCTTTCGTGGTGGGAATTGCGTGTACAATAAGTGTTCCCTAAAGTACACGTTTTTTTTTTATCTTGATGTCTCTTTATCATCGTTCCCTTTTCACCATCGCATTCTGTACCATACACCACATGCCACACCTTCTTTGTCAAAGAGACTCTTATCTCGGTGAACTTTCACGCGCCTCTAGTTAAACATCCTGTACTCGCGCAATTAAACTGACACGTTATTGCTGACCGTAAAGGCGCAGGGCTGCAAGTTCTTGCCCGTGCCACTGCTGCCGATGAGAGTGCTCAAGAGAGCCGGGCCTAGAATGCATTTTGGGCCTACCCTTGCCCACCATCCAGACAGGCAGAATAAGAATCTTAATTTAGACTGGAGGAATCTGATGAGCTATGAAGTTCTTTTTCACAGGTGTCCAGGAGGGAGGCAGGTCATACATTTTTTAGAAGGGTGGGTATTTGGCCTACACTTCCATGCTGGCCAGACAACTTGGAAGCAGTGGAAGTCCCCATCGACTAACTGCGGTGTTGCCCATTTATACGAAGGGGTGGACGGAGGTAGCGGGATTTAACTGTGACGCCGACGGTGTCTCGCCAAAATAAATCCGTGAAAGTAACCGCGCGGTGGATTTGTGGCGCCTCTTTCTCTTCCATCATCATCACGATCCATGGGCAAATAGCCCGTGGGTGTCCACTGCACAGTTCGTAATTTGTTTCCACTTTCCTCTGTCTGCCAATATGCTCAAGTAGTGCGACATCTTTCTGGCACCAGAAAGCCATTCTCTCTGAGGTCTTCCTCTCTTTCTGGTTCCTTCCAACAACAGACTTTTTATTTTCTCTTCCAGAGTTTTGGAACTCCTCGCGCAACCAGAGGAAGGCCGAGCGTGGCACAGGCGACACCGGTGACATGGGCGGGAGCCCGTCGGTGCGCACGCGGGCGCCCTGCCAGCTCGCCACGCCCAAGGGCCGCGCCCTTTGCTTCATCAACCCCCTCTTCCTGGAGGAGCACACGGAAGGGGCCTCGCTGCGCCGCGCCTGGAGCCGCTCCGCCGGAGGCGTCCGGGTCTCCACGGAGACCGGCACGAGCCAACTGTCCCCGCCGCCGCGCCCGCCCCCACCCGTTCCCCGCCGCCGGGGCAGCTCCAACGACGGCGCGGGCTCCCGCAACGGCAACGACCTCCGGCACTCGCTCTCGGGAGAAGGCGACGATGCCGCAGCCGTCGCCGCCACCCACCGAGCCGGCTCGTCCGACTCCGGCGTCGTCCCCCCGCGCCGTGAGCCGCCCGACGTGAACGGCCACGCTGGCGGAGGCGGCTGCGGCGGCGGCAGCTACGATGTCCCGAAGGCGCCGATGGTGAGGCCAGTGCCTCCGCCCAGGCTGAAGAAACTGTCGAGCTCGCCCGTTGAAAAGAAACCGCTGTCTACGCAGGGCAGGGTGGCCAAGGTGGGCTGGGTGGCGGACCACGTCGATCATGTGCAGTTGGAGAGGGCCCCGTCAGAAGAGAAGCCCCGGGAGCGGCAGGAGTCGGAGAGCGCGGACACGCCAACGGGTTACCGGGTCCCGCTTTCCTCCGCGCACGCCTTCAGCGGGAGCTGCTTCTTGACGAACGGCAACGATTCTCTGGCGGACGACCAGGGCTCGGACACTCTGAGCAACGAGCTGCTCAGCGACGACCAGAGCCTGTTTGACTTCATCGCCGGGAAGGTGCCCGCCATCCCCGAGCTCGACTCGGCCTCCATGAGCAGCATGGAGGAGGAGGAGGACGACGAGGAGGAGGAGGAGGAAGGCATATTCGGCGAAGTTCTGGAGGTGGACGAGACCGAGAGCAGCTACCAGACGCCGCCGGCGCTACGCCGCTCCACCGCGCTGGCGCTGCGAGGGAAAGTCCGCTCGAGTTTTCGCAAGTTCAGCGAGGTGCTGCACCTGCTGCTCACGCCGGAGCGGCGCGTCGTGCGGAAGATTGTGGAGTTGGCACAGGAGAAGCGCTCGTACTTTGGCTCTCTCCTGCAGGACTACATCACCTTCATACAGGTACCCGCCACATCTCGTCAGGAGTGTCTTGTAATTCACACGCTGCCGAGGGTAATGGTGAGCACGTTGGGGGGCCACGGTGGTTAGGAGATGTTAACTACCTCGTCTGGTATGCAGGAGGTCGTGGGTTAGATCCCGATCCTGACGCCTTTATATTTGGAGTCTGCATGTTCTCGCCGTGGTCGCGTTGATTTTTCTCCGGGTCCTCCGGGTCTTCCCTCCACATTTAGAAACATGTGTTTAGAGTATTTAGCTGCTATACAATTCCACATGATAGGCCACTTTGTTGGGCTATCATTTGTGGCCAGGTCACTTCTGAAAAAGAGCAATCTAACTCAGTGGTGCCTTATCTAGCAAAACGAACATTGCCGGTTTCTTAAACGTCCCAAACCTCTATTTACCAGTCGATCCGGCAGGCCACTGCTGGTGGGGTAAAGTGTGGGTACTCCCACTGCTTCCAAGAAGTCTGGCCAGCGTGAAAGAGTAGGCCAAATACCCTCTATAGAGAGAGGGGCTCCCTAGAGCTCCCTCTGGTGGAGGCCCTTCCTCCAGCAGTTGCATGAGCGGGCAGTTGCAGGGCTGCACCTTTACCAGACATTTCGTTGTTTTTATTGCCGATGCCGTTGCTCAATTTCCGACAGCCGCACTCTCCACGTTCGTAACATATTATCCATAATAATGAACGTAATTATTAACCGGATGGATTTTTTTACAACGGCAGAACCTCAACGCCTAGGATGCCAACCAGTTTGGCGTTGTTGTTATCTCTTATCTCATGTACATTTATATAGCGCCTTAATCCAAGGCACTTTACAACAAAAATAAAATTGTACATAAGATGATAGTGGTTGAAATAAAGAGTGGGGTTGTCATTAAAAGTGGTGGTGTAGTGATTGTGACAGGAGGACAGGTGGCAGAGGTTAAGGAGGGGTTGGGGTAGGCCTGGTCATAGCTGGGGGGTAGTGGCATGGAGTAGCATTAGGGGTAGTGATAGTGATAGGGGTAGTGATAGGGGTAGTGATAGGAGTAGTGATAGGGGGGTAGTGATAGTGATAGGGGTAGTGATAGTGGTAGTGATAGGGGGGTAGTGATAGTGATAGGGGTAGTGATAGGGGTAGTGATAGGAGGGTAGTGATAGGGGGGTAGTGATAGTGATAGGGGTAGTGATAGGGGTAGTGATAGTGGTAGTGATAGAGGTTGCGGTATGCCTGGTCGTAACTGGGGGACAGGGAGTAGTAGCAGTAGCAGGATGATGGGCGAAGGAGACGAGGTGGAATTTAAGCCCCAGGTTCCAGTGAAGATGATGTCTCTGTGCTGCAGTGGGAGTTGGTTCCAGTGAAGGGGAGCATGAAGAGAAAAGTAACGAGAGTGTGACTGGGCGCAGGGCGAGGGAGACACGGAGAGGGACAGTCAAGGTTGGGAGCGCAGAGAACGGGATGGAATAGAGTGGTAATATTTGAGAGAAGCAAGATAGGGTGGGGCAAGATCATGGCTCGGTGTTGCATTGCAGCACTGTTGTCGCTGTAGTTATTGTTGTTGCATTGCTGGGCAAAGGGCCTCCCCCCATTATTTTCCATCCCTTCCTTTCCTTCGCTGCTGCTGTCTGGTAGTGGCCTCCGAATTCTGTGATTTCATCTCACTGCATTCCGCTAACTTCCCCTGCTTCTCCTGCCTTCTCTCGATCTCCACCACATGGTTACGTTTGCCTCATCTCTCGTCAGCTGTTTCTCACGACGTGTCCTGCCCATTTCCACTTGTTTTACATTTCTTTAACAGCAGCGTCGGTGAGCCCCATTCTTTCCTATCTCTTCTGTTCGCTTCTGACTTACTTTTATTTCCGTAGATAAAGCGCTGGCGATTGCCAATTGTCGTGTCGTTCCACCTCTGCCCGGCGCTCGCAGGAGAACGGCAACAACTACCAGAGCAGCTCGGACCTGTTGCAGGCCGTCCGGCAGCTCCTCAACCAGCTCAAGGCCTACCTGCTGCACACCCACGAGCTTGATCCGCCCATCGAGTCGCTCATTCCCGACAGCGACATCGGTAAAGCGAGATGCAGAGCCCTCCGGATGGATCAGCACGCTCATATTCCGGGTCGTAATAAAAGTTCAACTGGATTCTATAATATCACCTCCAATGGGCCAGAATGAGCCCCGATCATTCAGATCTCAGAAGCTATGCAGGCTTAAGCCTGGATAGTGCTCGTATGGGTGACCACTGTGTGTGCCAGACTGTCATAGGTACATGGCCGGGTATCCAACTTGGGTCGCCAAATCCATAGCTCGGCACGCTAGCTACTATGTCACCCTCTGCCCCACACACAACATTCACCAGTCATGAATAGATAAATTCTTAACGTGCGCGTGTGTGACGACATCATAAAACTCCACATCAAGCCACGAGTCGGCATCGTCGCGTGCCCAAGCGCGCTCTCGTACGTGTCCATTCTGCCGGCCGGTCTCACCGACTCCGGCCTTGGCATCTCGACCCCCGTCCCTTCCACGCAGACGCGGTCATCGAGAAGGCCCTGCACAAGTGCCTGCTCAAGCCGCTCAAGGGCCAGGTGGACGCGTGGATGCGCGACTTCCGCTCGGTGGACGGCAGCGCGCGACGCCTGCGCGAGAACCTGCAGCTCGCCCGCGAGAGCAGTCTGGCCGACTTCGGGGCCGGCGGCGTCGGGGGAGCGGCCGGGGGGGCGGCTGGGGGGGCCGGTGCAGGGGCGGCGGTACGGCTCCCCAACGTGCCGGACGCCGCCTGCCTTGAGCGGATCCGTGTCACCCTGGCGCACATGCATGCCACCTACTCGCCCTCCAAGAAGGTGCTGCTGCTGCTCAAGGCGTGCAAGTTCATCTACGACGCCATGGGAAGCGGCCTTGGTAAGGGCGCCATGGTGGCAAGATGTTAACTACCTCGCCCGGTATGCAGGGGGTCGTGGGTTCGATGCTGACCGACACCTGCTGTATATTTGTTTGCATGTTCTCCCCGTGGTCTCGTGGATTTTTCTCCCAAGTATTTGGTCACTTTCAATTTCCACGTGATGAGCTATTGTTTGTGGCCAGGTAGCTTCTGAAAAATAGTTAAGACTCCGCGGGACCCGCCGCACCGGTGTCCGCGTGGAATCGACAGCGATCGTCGGCGGGTTCCGTGCTCGCTCGTTGGCGTGGAGTTGTCAATCAGAATGAGCGTTTTATGATTTTGCAAAATTGCTGCACCCCAGTTCAATTCAGCTGTTGCCTGGGACACAGTCCCGTGCCATTTCTAATTGTCAGCCATGGTTCGTTTCGCTGCTGGACGAGAACCGAGCCAACTGATGACCTGGATGTCGCCACTTTGAATAATGCGATAACAAGCGCAATAATGGGTATTGCGTTGATAGTCTAGGCGGGGGGATGGGGGCAGGTAAAAAAATCAATATGAGAAGTCTCACATGGTAACGCTTGCGCTTGTGTTCACTGATTGGTCGATTCGGTGCCGATGCACAGGCACGATGTTTGGGGCGGACGACTTCATGCCGGTGCTGATGTACGTGCTGGCGCGCTGCGACATGCCGTTCCTCGACATGGAGGTGGAGTACATGATGGAGCTGCTCGACCCGTCGCTGCTCAGTGGAGAAGGTGCCTTTTATTATGGCGGTCGGGATTGGGACTGTCTGAACCGTTACGGTGAAGGAAAGATCTCGCCGAGAAGATGCCTCTCCAACCGTGGCAGTTTAATCTCCGGATGTTTCGACAGCTGATTGTGAGACCAGTCCTAATGGTAGCTGCTCAGGAGTCCTCAGCCCTCGGGAACTGGAATGTATGTGGACTGTCATCTTCTTGATGAGTTAGTTCCTTACCTGTAATGGTATGTATATATGTTGAACTTATTTCGCACCGTACCAAGTTAACCGTGCTAATCGGAAGTGCCAGGGAAGGACAACAAACTAAACACAAAAAGCAGGTTTAGATATGAAGAAGGTACAACCGGCTTGTGCCCTACCACTCAGCCATACTCGGGAAGACCCAACAGTCAGTTGTTAACATTCTTATTTATCATGCCAAGCACACAACTGTAGGGCAGATTTATACACGAGGGAACATTCCTGGGATTCGTCACCAGCAATCCTCACCCACAGTTCTCACCAGCAATGCTTTTACAATGAGCAACTGTGAAAAATTGGTATGGCAGTGGCATAGAACGACAGACGTCTGTCCAGCTAATGAAAACAATCGTTTTTTTAATGAGTGTATTTGATGTAGTAGAAGGTTTGGTCTACGGATATCTTTGAAACTGCCACCCCGGGTGCCCACAAGGGGGGGGGGGGTAGCGATCGTATTTGTCCAGATTTTGGCAACCGATGATTTTGACAATTGGGAAAAAAATGCGAGGCAGTGCAGCTTTTACGCGAAAGTTTATCCGGTGCATCATGGCCTCTAGTGGCTTACGAGAGCCATTGGAATGTGTGAGTTTGGCGCCGACATGAGGCCAGTGGTATTATTATACTCTCAGAATTTGTTAAGGGCAAATGTGCAGGCTCGAGTGTGTCAACTCAAAGGTCGTGGGTGACCTTTGAGACCACCACCTCTTCCACGACGTCTGTCCCAGCGTGGAAGAGTCAGCCACAATACCCTCTGGCTCCCCACAAGCCCCTGCTAGAGGCCCTTCCAGCAGCAGCGCGCGTGAGCACGTAATTACCTCCGCGGGAATCTGTAGCAGAGCTCCATGAACTTGAACGCTCTCTCTCAGGATGTGCCGGAACCTGTGGTGACGACTGATGCATATCTGTGCACCCCTGCGTGCGTGTGTCCCTGCGTGCGTGCGTTTCGCGGTATGCAGGGGGCTACTATTTGACAACGGTGTACGGCGCCCTCTTCCTGCTCAAGAACTACCACCAGGAGGAGGCCGGATGGCGGCTCAAGACGGACGCACGCGACTCCTTGCGGCAGTGGCATCGCCGGCGCACGGTCAACAACAAGGACCTGCCCTCCTTTGATGACATTCAGGTTCAACGCTCACGACTCCGCGTAAACGCACGTACATTCCCTTTTGTCCATCCGCTGCTGGATGACGGCCTCGATTTCCATGCAGGTCGTGGGGCTGCTTGACCATACGTCGCCACGCTGGTCAGTGCGAGTTTGGTGACGACAGGCAGCATTATCACACAGCCTGGTTATGCATGGTTATGCATGGTGGTTCCCCATCCAATCACTATCGAGGCTCAACACTGCTTAGCTTCTGAGATCGAATGAGATGGGAAGTATTCTGGCTGATTAGATCATGAACGAACTGAACATGATCAAGTTCCATTTTTCAAACCAGGTTCATTCGAGCAGTCTACTTGCTGTGCTACCATCTGCTCGGTATCTCGCAGCGCAGCAGATGTGGGAATTTCAAAATTATTATTAATAATGCTTGTTTACCCACCCCCGCCACCCCGCCCCACCCCACAGAATTTCATCCGCGTGGCTTTCCAGGACAGCGGCTGCACGGGCAAGACCCTGTCCACGCATCCGTACGCCACGACGGACGAGGTGTCCCGCCTGTGTGCCGACAAGTTCCGCGTGCCGGACCCGGCCAACTTCGGCCTCTTCCTGCTGGTGGACGGCACGTGGCAACAGCTCGCGGGTAGACACGCACCCGCTCAAGATCAAGGCCGAGCTCCACAGCAAGGAGCGCCTGCAGCCCTTCTTCTTCATCTACCGCCGCCTGGGCACCAGCCCCCTGCCCTCGCCTGGGCCCTGAGGAGGCCCCCGTCGGGGAGGTTTGCACCACGGAGGAGGCGGGGAGGTATGGATTTAAGAGCGATCTGGCAACTACTCCTTTGACGGCTGGGAAGTGACCCAGCCTGGTTCACGGACCAGGGCCTAATTGGGCTTGACCTGGATTCCCGTGGCAGCCTTGCCGGGCTGAGCCAGCGGCCACCAACTGGGCCGCGTGGCTCCCTGTCAGTGCGCCACGTAAGGGTCCCTTTGCCCTCGGAAAAACAGTCGCGATCTCACGGGGTCAACGTAGAAGACAGACCGGCGATCGTCGGCGTCTCTCGCTTAGGTCAACTTGCAGGGTTGTGTTTTGGATTAAATAACTTGAAGTTGTTTTTAATACCACAGCTGAATCCACAGATTTGTTAATTTTTGAAACTGCAGTTGTTTCTTTCGGACCGTGGTTGGGAAGGGTGTAGGGGGTTGTGTGGGGGACGAAGGGGACGAAGGGGACGAAGGGGCCAAGTTCACAGACCGCGCGTGGCTTATGGAACATTGAGACAAAACCCAAGTGGTCCTACGCCATCCGTGTCGTGACCCAGCACGGCTTCCCGTCTTGTTTCTTAAGTGGTCGTTGGAAACGCAGTTCATTATTCGTGACTCTTAAACTCTACTCCCTTTTTGCGGTGCCCTATAACTTGACAGAAAGAAGTGAGCCACTGTTAGCCACGTGTGTTTTAACACGCACAGAATTCAGCAACGGAGGCACTACGAACGCACTTGAATTGTGACCTCATTGTGGAGTTCCCATGCACTTAGAATACGATGCAGTCCAGAGAGAGACCGTGACGTCACGATCCAAGCCAGGGGTGTAGGGGCAGCGTTGGGAATCGCTCATCTGCCCGCAGGGCCATGGTGCCTGGTCACGTGGACAGCTTTGGCGAACGCGACGTCGCGTGCGTTGGCCAGAGTGACCTCGCTTTCATCTTATTGGGCCATCTGTGAATAAAGAGCTTCACAGCTCATCGGATTCCTCCAGTCTAAATAAAGATTGTGTATTCGCGAGCGGCGACGTCTCACGAGCGTCACGGGCGAAGGAGGCGCGTGAGGATGCCCGTTGGCAACGGCGAGCGGCGCACCGAGTTGATCGCCGGGCGTTCGTGCACCGTTGCTGTTCGCTGGTGGCCGTAGCTTGGACACACCCCCTGACGGTCCCAGCTGTCATCACTGCCTCGTTTTTACCCACCGTCGTTGCCGACGTGTCAATTATTGTGGGATAGTTGTGTAGCGCGACACTTAAATTGCCAATCGTGAACGCGGTAATATTTACTCGTAAGTCTGCAATAAAAAAGTCCACGATTGGCTCCGCCAGCATCCTCCCCTCACCTCCGCAAATATTCGTCTGCATCCTGCCATTACGTTTTTCAAAATGCTATTCCTCGTGCTCCCCACGGTTCTTGTTTACAGTTTTACCAATCTTGGTTCACACTCAGATACAAGTCATTACGACATCTTTGGTGCATATCTGGTGACAACAATACAAATGTGTAAACTGTGTGGGGAGCAAGGAATGGATTATTGTCCATTGGCTGGCCGAGAGCTGGAGCCCTTTGTACTTAAGTGCGTAACAGTGGTAGCATTTCATATTTCGTGGCAATTTTCTTTTGCTTAGTATCAGCAGATGTACATTTTACCTATTTATGGCTTCTTCTGTGGGCCTGAGCTGGCTTTGGAGCACAGGTGAGCAAGATTTAAAAAAAACAATTACTTGAATACGAACTTAGAACATTTCTTAAGTTAATTTGATTTTTAAAGTTAAGAACCTTGCTGAGCAAAGCACTAATTATTAAATATAAGCTACCTAAATATAGAGCAATTACAATACTGTACTCTATCTGTTTTTGTGGCCAAAATAAGTTCAATACTGTACTAAATTCTCAAGTGCCATCAAATCTCATGGAGTGGCATATTGTGTCATTTTCTCCTGGACATATGTTAATCCATCTCTTATCCTGTAGCCGAGTTATTTGCAAAGTAAAATACCGATCATATCTGAAAACTTTAATCAATGCCCTAACTTTTCATAATAAAGGTTTTTGGGTTAGATCGCGTTATGGATAAATGTGTCGCAACCGTCCACCACCCGACACGGCCAATCAGTAAAAAATGTGTCACGTTAACAAAAGATAAATAGTTCACTACTTTAGCCCACCGGTGTGTTGAAGAATGGATCCACAACATTTACAATTTGAGTACGACGCTTCGCTGGAAATTCCATCCAGCATCTTCGGGCGATTTGCCAGAATAGGAAAGCCATCCACCTGCTTCCGGTCTTAAATAGAGCAGCAGGGTGACGTCATCATTGTTGAACCCATCAGGATTCGAGCTCAGAGGCGGAGGTGGGAGTGTATGCAATTATGTAATAGATCAGTAATCAGCCACTTAGCATGTGACTCACCTGTAAGGAATTGCAATGTGTTGTGTATTACTTAATAATATGCTTCCAGGCTGCGCTGAGTCTATAGCTATCACAGCGATTAAAATTATTTGAATTATCAATTTCAATTGATTCTCTAACTAATCTTAGCCAGTGATAATTAGTCCTGCATAACACTTCAACGTTATCAAAATCAATTGAATGTCCTTGTTGGCAAGCATGCTCTGCCACTGCTGACAGCTGTGTTTGGGAGAATTTAATGTTCCTTTGGTGTTCTTTTAGTCTTACGCCAATGTTACGTCCCGTCTGTCCAATATAACACTTGCCGCATAAGCAAATGTCCCAACTCAGCCCTTGGTTGTATCTGAAACTCATATTTGCTGAGCAGAAATGAGATTCAACTCGGAACCATCATCACAATGTTTTAAGTCCTCTTAATCGGCCATGATCTATCCACTACTGCACGGAAACCTCTTCGTATAACAGTAAGTTAACTTTTATTTTGCTCATGTATCTTACACCCAACAATGCAGCCATCATTACCAAGTTGTTCTCGAATTTAAAAACCTGCGGTTAAATTGCATTCGGTTGTTGTGACGAGTGTCTTAAACACATCAGAGATGATTTATTATATTTTCAACCATGTGTTTGTGGCTTTATTAAAATTTTTGGAAGACATCCTAATGCCAACCTGAAGCAATTTTCCTCAGCCGACTTGCATTCTGCATTTGCATTTTAGTACCTTACTCACAGAATATCAGCGTTGCTGTGCCATTTTTTATAAATGTTTTTTTATATCTAAATGTTTTGTTATTTAGGCCCTGCTTTGTGAACGCTTGGATGACTTATCAATTTCCCACGGAATTCATGCTTTTTTTAAAGTCTTCGATGGCTCGGCATCAAGGTATTCGATATTCGTTAGAACTTTCAGTATCTGATCGTGTGTGTATGTGGTTGATGGTAGAGAAACATTTCTGAAACGCAGATTACTCCTGTGGTTGGTTGGCCATCATTATGTTCTCAATCATCTTCCTAAACAATTTCTATTCACGTGATATGACGCTATTTGTCCACGTGGCAAATGTGTCTTATAAACATTCACCTGCACAATAAACATTCACCTGCACAATCTATTATCATACTGTCTACTTAAGATCGTGTTTTTACTTGACATTTTAATATTATGTATACTGTATTGATCTCTTATATCAGTGTATGACAGCATACTCAATATGGCAATATTGGCATATACGATGCATTGATGTCATGTAATAAATGTATATATTATGGATAATTGGGATTTTTTTGTTATCTTGCGATATCACAACTTCCATCAGGTTGGAATTCGCGCAGTGCACTAACCCGACGCGCCACTTCTCGATGAAAAATAATGATTTCTTTTTGGGGCAGTGAACAGCTGCTCCTAGCCGTGACACGTGCTGCACAGCCTGGTAATGTTGTCAGAGCATGGGGCCAAACTTGGGTAATCAGAAAAAAAGCCTTGTTCAAATGTATTATGAGAATGTTCAGTGTTCAGGCAGCCACTGAAAAAGTGAAAAAAACTGTCCAAAATATTCATCACTAGTGAGGCCTGCTCATAAACAACTGCCGTCGGAAAAAGACTGGACGTTACGGACAAGGGCATTAGATCACCACAGTGGCGGACGTTAAAGAAAAAACAAGTGGCTTAAATTTAATAGAATTTAAATTTAATATAAACCGATAAGACATCCAAAAGAGAGTGTCATTATTGTTACGTAAGATTGGAGGCATCACATCTGAGGTGTCACTGATGTTCTTCTTGGAGGACAATTGGTTAAGGAGAGATATGATGAAGTTAACTTTCCTCCGTAAACGTGGAGTTATCTTGTAATTTTAAGGCGGGAAAGCATTCGGTACTTTTAGCGCAGCATTTACGAGAACAACAAAAATAAACAGTAAAACCTTGGATCGCGAGTAGCTTGGTCTGCGAGTGTTTTGCAAGACGAGCAAAAGTTTTAAATAAATATTAATTTGATAAACGAGCGAGGTCTTGCAATACGAGTAGTACGTGTATACGCTTTGTCTGCCGAGCGTCACGTGATCACAACTGATGTACGAGTGCTTTGGATTACAAACACGTTTCTGGAACGAATTATCCTCGCAATCCAAGGTTTTACTGTATTTTGGCCACGTCTGTCGCATCTTAAGTGCCGGAAACGTGATGATGTGTCTTGGGGTGGGTTTCTAGATGTGGTCTGGGCATACCAACACTGTCAATGCTCTTGGACAACAACATGTTTTTTACCCAGCCGTTGATAAAAAAAAAATATTGCACCACTGGTTTCTAGGAAAAGACATCGTTCCAAAAAGTGTATTTTTTATTATTATAGTAAATAAAACTGGCATAGTCATTGGCAATTTAATACTTCCCGTGCAGCCAACCGCTCTGTGCGTCGTCAATTTTATGAGAGTGGGGGGGTATCGTCATGAGAAATGCATTGCGAATTGCATTTGAAGCGAGAGAGAGGGGCTTAGTAGTTAAGTGCGGTGGATCTGAGAAAAGTCTTGAATTAAGTGGCCTTGCAGCATCGGGAAAGTGTCCAAGGAGCCCCCCGGCCTGACTGATTGCAATTTCGCAGTCTCCGTCAGGGATCGTGTTCCTCTTTGTTCAACGCGCCAGTTGTTGGAATGATGGGAAGTGAAAAAGGTGGTGGCTTTTTACAGTGGTCTTGCATGTATGCACTTCGATACTTGTGTGTGTGTGATGTAGAACAAATATGATGCAATAGTGGAGTAGTTGACATCACATCATAATGTACTCTATGTATTAATTAGAATGCATAAAACAAAACTTGTGATCAGGCTCCCTGTTAAATGATGCCCACTGGTACGGTATGGGCTTCATCATAGGCTTGAAGGACTGTTTAACTTTCACACGTCTGTTTCTGAAAGCTAATAACTGCGCTATTCATCGTTAATATCGTGTGTAAAGCACTGTTTTTAACACTATGTAATATTTGTATGCAAGTAAACCGTTTTTTTTAATGCCTCTTGCAAATCTCTTTGAGCGTCTCTCTTGTTTTTTTTTCTCAATTCAGAATAACTCGCGGATGCGTTTTTATCTCTTTGCGTTGAAAAAACTCCACGTAGCAATGTTGGGGTTGAGTTCAAACGTTTATTTTGATTTGTAACACCACAAAACTTAAAATGAGTAATCGTAAACCAAATGGCAAGAGATTAACAAAACAGAATAGGACATGGCTCAAAGGAAAGTTAAAACATGTTTTAACATTGTCAAGTAATAGTCAGCGTGCAGCAATTTCTTCAGAATACCTATGCACATACGGGCGTAAACCGCACACACGAGTACACGCTGTCGTTGTGGATTGTGGGTAATGACAGAATGAACACACAAGGGGTGTTGGTTTCTTCGTCAAAAATAAAATAACAGTTAGGTAGTCTTGTCAACCAAAAAGCTTTGGTGGGCAGTGTTTCCCAGCACCGTTTGTGCGAGCAAGGCAAAACCTGGATTGGTTTCGACTCTCTCGGTCTCATCAGCAGGGTGTGTTACTGTATGAGAAAGAGCTGTCCTGGCAATTTAGCAGCATGTTTTTGAATGAATGCTGAAAGTTATTCATCTGTTTGACCTTTTTGGCTGGTGAACCTCAGTGTTATCTTTTTTGAAAGGATCCATCCACATTCTTGTCTCATTGTGACATTATGAAGCAACAGAAAATCTAGAAGCAACAGTAACATCGCTTTAAAGGATTTCATGTATTGCACAACCGTCAGCGTTAAGCAATTTCACGCCATATGTGCAAGTTAAAAATAAACTACTGTTAGTAGTGGTATATCTTATACTAAGACTGTAAATACTATAAGGTAGGGGTGTGTTTCCAGTTATTTTTAAACAATCTTTAAAAAATCTAAAAGCCAAGCAGGGACTGGATATGGAAATGGGACATCGCAGGAAGTCACCGCACTTTATCGCTATTTTCCGCCAAAAGCGCCATCACGTGACATCGAAATGTTTACGTAAAATGTCATAATTTTACCGATGGAACTTAATGTTAATATTTTGCAGGATTCGTATTTAAAAGTGATTCAACAGATTCAATTGCGTGCGAAAACAAGTCAGGCAGGTTGAAGACCTTTAAATTCGTAAATTTGAAAGTGGGAAATAAAATCCCAAATTGGGCCAAAGAATCCACAAACCTGATATCCAAAAAAACTACAAATCTGAAACCCATCCCAACGATTAACCAGAATAATTATTCTTGAATCATTATTGATCTTAAAATTCACTGAAATTCGAACTCAAGCTTTCCTTCCTTCTAGCTTTTCCCTTCACAGTGCAAGGCACATCTTGTCCATGGCTTCCTCGATTCTGTGAAATAAAGAGCACAGAACGGCCGTTGTAGGTGAACCTCAATGAGCACGTGATACAAAATTCAATTTAAAAAACCTAACCGACGACCTTCCAGCAGTACAGTTACCGTACCAATATTTGCTTTTAGCGCAGCGCGTCCAATCGCAGACACCGCCGGCTTAATTTAGATATTCACAAAAGTTAACAATCACCTTCCGATGGGAATCTTTTCTTCGCACATGTTGAGCAGGACGTACAGGTGGCGCAGAGCGTACTGGTACTGCGGGCACGCACGCAAGCAGAACGAATCGTTAAGAGCGATAACGCGCCGCCCTCGATGTCAACCAAGCCTCGCTTCCTTCCGCTACCTGTACGCATAGGAGTGCACGCACGTTTCGTAACTTTTGTTTCGCTCGTGTTTTATCTCGAGCCCCACTTCGCAGACCTTTATTAACTATCACTTCCTGTAATTCGTTTTCATTTGTTCGTAAACGAAGACGGATATTGCCAAATCGGAGACCGTTAATATTTTCCCCGTTCACGTTTATGCATTTATTACTCCAATCCAGTCTTTTGGCAAACGTCTTCTAATTCCGCTGTGAACAACTGGGGTGGGAGCGGGTGGGTGGCGAAGGTGGGGGAAGCGTGTCTTCTATCCCTTCTCGTGTGTAACGCGTGACCGCGAGCCGCTCGCCCCCTAGCGGCGGATACCTTCTGGTCGCTCCAGTTGAAGCAGCGGCTCTTGAAGTGGGTCACGGCCGTGCGGTAGCAGCCGTGCTCGTTCAGGTCCTGGCGCAACTCCAGCAGATGCTGGGCCTGCTCGGGAGTGGCGGCGCACAGCCCCACTATGCCCCTCACCACCTCCTCCATGCGCTTCCGCGTCTGCACGGACGACGAGTCGAGAGTTCGCGCGATCGGGTTAAACGCAGGTCCCGGCCGTGCGCGCGGCTGCCGCACTTCCAATTAGCCCAGTTGACTATGTATATGGGAGGCGTGGGAGTGGGGGCAAAGACGGCGGCCACGACCTCACCTGCAGCAGCGTCTGGATGTCGGCGAAGATGCGCGATGCCACTTCGGGGTCGCGTGCCGCGTTCAGCCGGTGCTCCAGGATGGCGAGCGGCACGTCGGGGCTTGGGACGGCGTCCTTCACGGATGCAGGCGGCAACACAAGCGGCGGCGGGGGCACCGCCTCCAGGTCGCCCTGGAACTCGACCAGCTTCATGTGCGAGATTGTCTGCACGAGCGCAACGGATGAGATGGACACTGCAGCCTCCAACTCGGGATGACGCTCGACTCACCGCCGTGCGCGCTTTTAAACCGTTGAGCGGTGGTGAGCGCACTGCGCTATGAATCCTCCTGATGGGTTGAGTGTCATTCTCGGCCACGGCTAACGTCAGTGGCCAGTGATATAAAACTTTTTATATTATACCAGGTAAGGCCCACTGCTATGTAGCCCTTTTTCAGAAGCGACCTGGCCACAAATGATCGCTCAACGAAGTGGCTTACCGCGTGGAAAGTGATCGCAGACAAATACTCTAAAACGCACGTTGCTTCTAAAATTTGGAGGTAAAAACCGGAGGACTCGGGAGAATAATCCATGCAACCACGGGGAGAGACATGCAAACTCCAAATATACAAGCGTAAGGGTTGGGATCGAACCCACGACCTCCTGCCTACCAGGCGAGGCAGTTAAAAGCTCGCCACCGGTCATGGGCATACACCCCTTCACCAATCTGCACTGACCAGCGTGGTTACATATGGCTCGAACAACCCCCAGTCACCAACGCAGCATGGGGGGAGGCCTTAATCCAACAGTGGATTAAGGGCTGCCTAATGTTAAGGTGCAGTTATTTGGGCAAGGCGGACTCTTTTCTGACAGATGGCCTTAAGTCGTCACGTAGGAGGCAAGTGAGATGAGAGGCATGAGTGAAATAGAAGGGGGAGTGACTCGCAACATGTTGCAGGACGATGGGCGAGTTGCAGCCTCGTCTTGCCAACAATTTTAAGATTGCATAAGCAGAGCTCTCCATCAAGCATGAATTGTGTTAAAACATGTGGCATGCACACATTCTCTGTTTTGCCGTGAACATACGAGTCAATCGCAGTTTCATAAGTGACTTACGTTTTAGCCATTGAGTAGTTGATTAGTCTCAAGCTTACAATATTAAGCCACTGCTGTAGTGAGGAAACCACACACCATCTAATCCACAATTTCTACCGTCCTGACATGCGATTCCTCCCACAAAACATCACTGCAACCGCTGTATTATGGGAACTGACGGCGCACGCGTGAAAAACGAATCCAAGGAGACGGTAAGTCTCGATGAAAATGAGACAAGACCGCAGACAGTCTGAGCTGTGACAAGACTGTCCTGGCCAACGGGTTTTGATGCGCGAGCGTTGTCCGTGACGACGCGTGGGTCACCTTGTCGCCGTACTGTTGCACGTGGCTCGTGTTCGTTTCCTCCTTGACGATCTTGAACTGCTTGTGTATCGTCTCTTTGTACAAGTCTTCCTGGAAATGATTATGGTTAAAACAAAAAATATCCCATTAGCTCATTCCATCGAACTGACCTGCATTGGAATGTCTTGTCACACAAACGCACACAAGTGTCTTCAAAGACACAATTTGGATAACAGCAGAGACAAATGGTAGTTCACGTGCGATGTGACGTGGCCATTGGCCCAACAACGGCATATTGGTACCCGCCATGGTGGCAAATGCTAACGATAATTACTTGGGAGCATTTCGTCTCCAGATCACAAATTTGTGTAATAGCAACGTCACCAAGGTAGCCGTTGATGAGAAAATGTTTAATCAATTGGTACCTTGCTACGTTTTATAGAGAAAGCCGTGCTGAAAAAAACCGCACATGATACAAAACATGTACAGAATATAAAAATGAAATAGGAAGCGTGACTATAAACCACATGGTTGACGTGACGCTTTCTGCTCATGGTGGACACGGAGCAGCAGTTGGCACCCCAGGTGGTATCGATACAGAATGAACAGTCGTTTTCTTAGAAATGCTTTTTGTGTTTCGTTTGTACTTCCCCCGCACCTCCGATTAGCACGGTTGGCTACGTACGGTGCGAAAGAAGTTCAACATACATACAGGGCTTTACGAGGGATCTTTGTCTTGGTCTCACTCACAAAAAGGACCGTCTTGTCCACAATGGACAGACGTCTTGGAAGGGGTGAATTGTAAACCCTTGTAAAAGAGCGATTGTTGCTTTGTAGATTCAAGAGCTTCATACTACTCGTACTAATAAAGCAGCTATACAACATTTAAGGTAAAATAAATCTGACTGTAAACGATATCCTGATAAACTACACAGTTTACATATGTTTGTAATTCGTACATAGTACATCCACATAAAAAACATACAACACTCATCCTACGTACATTATTTTTCTGTGTTATATATCAGAAGTTCAACTTACGCACGCACATACGACCGATCCCCTCAGCTCATGAACTAACCGAGTCGCTGTCCTCCATCCACTTGACGCTGTACACGTCTCCGAGGTAGGTCTCCCTATCGTCATCGTAATAGCAGGCGTAGGACGGCTCGTTTGTGCCGGCCGCTGTCGTGGCGTATACTGTGAGGTGAAAGTGCCAAGCATGTCAAGTTGTAGAGAGAGAGAGAGATGGACACCAAAAAACCCACCGCTTTTAGAAAATGCTTCGCGTGCGGTATGCGCGCTCGTGCAATGCAAGATGCTTTGTGTGAGGGTGAGAAACATCAAGAGTGAAAAATTGCAAGCTGCACGTTTTATATCACAGAGCCACCATGCTTCACATTTGCACGCAGTTCTAATTAGGTCCAGGTGCCAAGTATCCTCAGGATTGTGCCACCTCTTGCCGAGGAGTTAATATGGCCAGAAGCAGAGACAAGATTAAAATATTTAAATGATACGCAGTTATGTTAACGTGGGTGAAAATCCACAGCAGACGGCAGACAGGCAGGCGTTACACCATTAATGCAAAATGGAAGAGCCCCACTTTGCACACAAACATAAATAAAAAATGTGTAACCGCTCTATCTTTCGGGAACACACCAACACAAACCTCCTTAAGAACAAAACACGATTCATTGCGGTCATCGGCTTCGGGAAAATAAAACTATTTGACGATATCAAGATCCGAGGGCATTACTTGTAGGCCAAGGTGTAGGATAAAATGTACTTGCCGTTAACGTCGCTGGGCAGGTTAATCATCATCGAGCCAGACTCGCAGGCCTCGATGTAAAACACCATCTACACAAGAGCAGGGACACAAGATTTACACGAAACGTTCGCTTGTATAGTCACAACGCAATTTCAAAAGGCATCTAATATACTTACAAAATGATTGTCGGGCACGTAGAACTCTTACCTTGGCAAACTGTTTGTTGTCATGCATATCTTGGATTGTTTTGTTCAAATCCTCCACGTGCAACTAAACACAATTTCACCGAGAAAACAAGTCACATGTGACTGTTAATACATTTTAGGAGTGCAGCATTTTAAAGGGCACATTTTCGGCGCCCTGTTTCCAAGTAAAAAATCAATCTCCATACTCTTTGGTTCTTTCGGTAAAGTCGCGTAGATAGAAAAATAAGTAATAGATCACGACGTTTCGATCGTTACATCAAGCAAGCTTTGGAAGGACGTTGATCAACCAGGTAAAGTGTTAACTGTAGTGTTGGCCGACTTCTTTGAGTTGCATTACATTTCTAAATTGTTCTAACCTTGTTCCCTCTTTGAATTTCACCGCCACCCTCTCGCCCGTTACGGCAGCCCCTCCCCTCCCTCGGATCTATATAATGCCCCGTCACAGCGGCTTGTTTCTCTTTCTCACCTGAAGACGGTTGCTTGTTGTTGCAATCGAAACGTCGTGATCTATTATTTGTTTTTCTATCTACGTGACTTTACCGAAAGAACCAAAGAGTATGAATTCCTGCAGTCACGCAAGCTTAAAATCAAGATTAATCAATTTCCAGTTCAACATTCAAGTTCTTCCAAGGTTATATTTCTATCCACTTTGCTTACTTCTTGATCCGGGAAGCCCAGGATGCCAGGAGCCCCGTGATCAGTAAAAAAAACGAAGACGTGATCGTCCGGTCCACTGCAGAGACACACAAAGCACAGAGGCCAAGTCAGCGGTAACATCCACCCGTCAACATACACATTCAACGCGAGCATTCCTTATAAATACTTTTCAGCCGGTAGAATGTAAAAAGATTTTGGTAAAAGTGAGCAAGCAAATTGCAGGGAACTCTAAAGAGCTCCCTCTAAGATTAGATTACTTGGCCTACTCTTCCACGTTAGCCAGACGTCTTTGAAAGAGGTCAGAATACCCACACTTTACCCCACCGCACATGACCTGCTTATCGACTGACTGGGGAGGGGGGGGGGTGCACCCATTCATGCTGCCATCGTTTAAACTTGTGGGCTGGGGGAATGAAGCTTTGGGATTGCAAGTCTTAAGTGTGCTACCCATGACAGCAAGGCCGGGTCACAGGTTGTTCATTAGGCCCGATGGCAGCGTCGCAATGGGTGAATCGACGGCGAATATTATTTTTTGGGCTTACCTCTGGATAACTTTACCACTGCCAATTCCGTTGACAGCGTCACGGTCTCCCCGCAGCACAGCCAGGAAGTTTTCAGGCGTGACGTCCTGCGCGCAGGAAAGATTCACAGCAGTTTGTTCGCCCGTGACATTCACAGACACGGCAGAGGCTGGATATAAGCACACCACACGGGAGGAAGGCCAAAGTGTGCTCATATCTAAGGTCGTGTGCTTGTGTCAGAAGTTACCCTGTGCCATTCCCAACCCAACAGTGTAATGTAAAGATGTGTTGCTTATACCACAACTGTGCTTTTAGAAGATGGGCCTATTTCCAGCTACTACGCTATCATACAGACCATTATTTTACTCCGAACAACAAAGCGTATATTTAAGGAGTTTAAGATTGTTTAAAAAATATAAAAATGACACTGTATTTATATAGAAACGCCAGCCTTTGTCTTATACCTACCGCGACGAGTTTGGGGGCACATAATTATTTGTGAGCGCCGCAACCAGCGGAACGATCAACAGACTCTCAACCCACCTTTCCGACGTAGTCCTTGGGCACACCCTTGTAAACATCAGGTCCATTGGGTCGGTTTATAATCTTCCCTGGAGTCGGATTCCTGGGACAAATTGCCAAACGTTTTGTGATTGTTAGCGCTTTACATTTTTTTAGGACACGAAATACAGGACAGGCTTGTTCAAGGGAAGTCTAAATGAAGACACAAGACACCGACTTTCCACTATTGTGTTCAGCTTTTTTATTTTTATATGGAAGCTAGACTGAATGAACGGTGTTCGAAAACCACAGACGTCGTTCGTTTGATCACTTTAACAGTAATATTTTTGCGATGACGTGGCAAGTGGATGTTGGCATGAGTTAAACAGAAGATACCCTTCCAGTGGGCTGCTGGTGACATTGAATAATTATTTGCTGACAAACCGCGTTTAGTTAGTGGTATAAACCCTTGTGTTGATTATTATCCGCAAGCCAACGTGTGCAGTTTCACTTGGAGAATCAAGTTAGTCATGACAATCACGCGTGTTTGGGAGGAACAGATGCAAAGCAGTTTCCGTAAAAATAAATCTCGGAAATAATTATGAATATTGCTATTCTATGGGGACCTCATTTGCCAGTAAAAATATGATAATTGGTTCTTTACCCTTCTATCTGGCAACAAAACTGACACCTTTTTGCAAGGAGTCATGTTTGCATAGACTGCAATACCTGCAGTCATAATACAAACAAAAGAACATAACTCTGATAATGTGCACTGTCCTTGAAGTTGATTGGTCCACACCCGAGACAGCTTTCCTTCGAGCCTAGTCTCATATGGGTTGGACCAGATGACGCCAAAAGGCGCACAACTCAAGGACAATGCACCATCAGAGTATGAGAGCTCGGGGCAAGCATCTACACTATGGGGACCTCATTTGCCAGTAAAAATATGATAATTGGTTCTTTACCCTTCTATCTGGCAACAAAACTGACACCTTTTTGCAAGGAGTCATGTTTGCATAGACCGCAATACCTGCAGTCATAATACAAACAAAGAACATAACTCTGATAATGTGCACTGTCCTTGAAGTTGATTGGTCCACACCCGAGACAGCTTTCCTTCGAGCCTAGTCTCATATGGGTTGGACCAGATGACGCCAAAAGGCGCACAACTCAAGGACAATGCACCATCAGAGTATGAGAGCTCGGGGCAAGCATCTACACTATGGGGACCTCATTTGCCAGTAAAAATATGATAGATGCTTGCCCCGAGCTCTCATACTCTGATGGTGCATTGTCCTTGAGTTGTGCGCCTTTTGGCGTCATCTGGTCCAACCCATATGAGACTAGGCTCGAAGGAAAGCTGTCTCGGGTGTGGACCAATCAACTTCAAGGACAGTGCACATTATCAGAGTTATGTTCTTTTGTTTGTATTATGACTGCAGGTATTGCGGTCTATGCAAACATGACTCCTTGCAAAAAGGTGTCAATTTTGTTGCCAGATAGAAGGGTAAAGAACCAATTATCATATTTTTACTGGCAAATGAGGTCCCCATAGTGTAGATGCTTGCCCCGAGCTCTCATACTCTGATGGTGCATTGTCCTTGAGTTGTGCGCCTTTTGGCGTCATCTGGTCCAACCCATATGAGACTAGGCTCGAAGGAAAGCTGTCTCGGGTGTGGACCAATCAACTTCAAGGACAGTGCACATTATCAGAGTTATGTTCTTTTGTTTGTATTATGACTGCAGGTATTGCGGTCTATGCAAACATGACTCCTTGCAAAAAGGTGTCAGTTTTGTTGCCAGATAGAAGGGTAAAGAACCAATTATCATATTTTTACTGGCAAATGAGGTCCCCATAGTGTAGATGCTTGCCCCGAGCTCTCATACTCTGATGGTGCATTGTCCTTGAGTTGTGCGCCTTTTGGCGTCATCTGGTCCAACCCATATGAGACTAGGCTCGAAGGAAAGCTGTCTCGGGTGTGGACCAATCAACTTCAAGGACAGTGCACATTATCAGAGTTATGTTCTTTTGTTTGTATTATGACTGCAGGTATTGCGGTCTATGCAAACATGACTCCTTGCAAAAAGGTGTCAGTTTTGTTGCCAGATAGAAGGGTAAAGAACCAATTATCATATTTTTACTGGCAAATGAGGTCCCCATAGTGTAGATGCTTGCCCCGAGCTCTCATACTCTGATGGTGCATTGTCCTTGAGTTGTGCGCCTTTTGGCGTCATCTGGTCCAACCCATATGAGACTAGGCTCGAAGGAAAGCTGTCTCGGGTGTGGACCAATCAACTTCAAGGACAGTGCACATTATCAGAGTTATGTTCTTTTGTTTGTATTATGACTGCAGGTATTGCGGTCTATGCAAACATGACTCCTTGCAAAAAGGTGTCAGTTTTGTTGCCAGATAGAAGGGTAAAGAACCAATTAACAATATTGCTATTGTAAAATAAAAAAACTGCCCCATATTTCACAGGAAAATACAGTCATCACACCCGACTTGGTGTCCATTCTTGCCTCAATCAGCCGTTAGGGGGTGACATCGTTTTTGGAAACGGAATTCAAATAATGTAACTCCTACGAGCTCTGTAACTGTCTGTTTTTAAGCTTACCGTGGTTAAAAAAAACCCTATATTTGTTAACAATTGAAGATAAACCAGTTTAACAAATCGCGATTATAAATAATGATCTGAATTTAATCACGGACGACATTTTATATGCCCACGCTACAGTCTCATCATCATCTGCCATGTTCAATCTACTGCTGGATGTATACTTCCCCAAGTTGTTACGGCCACCCACCCAATCACATGCACAAGAGCTCATCCTCATTACTCCAACTCGCCAGTGAATGTCCCCTTCGGCGCATTCCGTCCTGTGGCTGCTTTTTCACCTCTGTGCATGGAGGAGCAAAGTGTGGGACCGTAGACCCTCGATACTCACGCGGAGTTGTTGGCGAGATCGTCAAACATCATGACGACAATCTGAGAGTCTGGAAGGCCATGCTTGTGCACGACCTGGTAGGCGTGGCAGACGTCGGCCTAGAGGAAGGATCGCAGAACTGCTGAGCTTGCACACGCTACAGTATAACGTCTCGAAGCCAGACTTTAAGTGGGTGAGAATTCGGGATCAGCCGAGGGATAAGACAACCAAAAACAATCACAGTAAAGTACAGAGATTTAAATTTCGATTTAAAGCTTTCGTGACTGCAGGGATTCATCTTCTTGGTTCTTTCGGTAAAGTCACGTAGAAGGGAAATAATAAAATAATAAAAATAAAACATAATAAAATAATTCTCACGACGTTTCGGCCACAACGCCGTGAGGACCGCTGCTTCCGTTGTGGCCGAAACGTCGTGAGGACGGCTGCTTGCGTTGTGGCCGAAACGTCGTGAGAATTGTATTTTATTTTTATTAATTTATTATTTCCCTTCTACGTGACTTTACCGAAAGAACCAAGAAAAAGTACGGAGAATTATGCTGGGTGTGGTAGGAAACGGCGTTCTGCAGTCAACCTGCATGTATCAGGCTACCATGTGGTGAAGCTTTATGCTAATAGTGTGTCAGGAATTGCAGTGTGCCGGACGTCCCCCCATAACCGTAAATGCGCTTTCTCCCCCAATTAGTCCAACTTAGACAGGTTCGACTGGATTGCATCATTAGCTCTGCCCCCAAATAAATGTTCGATGAAAACCTCGCCAGAGAAAAAAATTGTGGAGGCCTAGGGCAGAAACACCCTCTCCCTAATCAAAATATGTGCCCACTTGTGTCTGGAGAACCACAAAAATTCAAGTTAAAGAGGTCATCACATCCACTGATGTTGATGCCACCTCCATTCCTTCCAGATGCGGGAGCATAGAAGTACAGGGGCAGTACAATGGATTTTACTGCAATGCCCTCTGCTGCCTATGACGCAACTCTACAGCAGGCTATACTGATTAACTTAACATCAGTAAGGATGAGCGCTTTCAGCTTTTCCAATTAAAAAAGAGAGATGACATCGTCATCCTCTCAGCCTACAAGGGCAATGCCACAATCATGGACAAAACCACATACAATAACAAAAATCAGGACCTACTTAATGATGGTAGCTATCCAAATATTAAAAGAGATTCCACCAACAGCCTCGTTACGAAAACCAACAATATCCTCACCTATTCTACATCTTTAAATGAACCACCCAAGCGGATTTCCTTAAAACCCTCTACTACTAGACCACCCAGATTATATGGCTTACCAAAAATCCATAAAGAGGGTACACCCCTTAGTTTGATTGTCTCCACTATTGACTCACCCACCTACAAACTGGCCCAATTTCTGTCCGAGACCTTACAACCATTCACTGATAAGACCACCTCAGCTGTACTTAAATGACGTCACATTTCTCAAACCCCCCTCCCCCCCCTCGTCACGAATGTCTGACCCCCCCTCCCCCCATAGGTGTGTGACGTCATTTATCGACGGCCCCTTAATCCCTTTGTCAATCCGCTGATGGATGACTCCCTCTCCAGTCTCCATGCCGTGTCAGTCATGGCAGTTGTTTGACCATAATTCAACCACGTCCATCAGTTCGTGTTGGGGAGCCAGGAGCACTGGTTCAGGTATTGCTTGCGAGCCTTGGTCAGGCATTGAATCCACGAGACGCTGTTTTTTTTGCCTGCATTTTTCTCTTTGCGTGTAGTCACTCTAAGATGTTTTCTTGTCCATGTTTTTGTTTTTTGTTTGTTGCGGTTGCACCCAATTCAAGAGCCGAATGGCTCACAGGGCTATACCAAATAAATGAAACTGAAAGGTTCATGGATGCAGGGATGCCCCTCTCAATATCAGTCGGCGAGGCACCGGTACATCGCTGTATCCACGTGTTATATCCACGCAGTGCTGTTTACCTGGTGGCGGTAATTGTCCCAGGAACTGGAGCCGGCCACGATGAGAACCCAGTTCTTCCTCCCGGGTTCTGGACTGAAGGGCAGCGCAGAGGCACAAGCTCCTGCCACGAGGACCATGAGCAGGGTGGCACGCATCCTCGCAGGCTGGATGTCTCCTGCACAGAACTGCGCGGTGGTTAATTTTGTTACCGTAATTAGCGGGCCAACATATTCGAGTGTTTTTCTCATTTTTAACCAACAGTGAGTGACTGCGAGTGGACGATAATCATCCAGCAATGACGAACTGCCCACCAAAGATCAGAGCATGACTGTGACGAGATAAAATCTACAGACTGAGATAATCTCGTCACCGATTGCTTGACCTAATTGCATTGTACATACTGGCACCACTCAAACCAACATTTAAAAACTGAAAAGTGGATTAAATATATTACTGCTGAATTCATATTGACTAAGCCAGGAGTTCGCAACCTGCGGCTATTTAAGGGCTGCTTTGTGGCGTTACTTATTAAGGATCACCATCTCGTATTCACACGTATCGCGTCGCTTGGAATGCGCTTTCCTACTGAATTGGAAAAATATGGCTCTTCTTGTTATTTAAGTTTCCGACCCCAGGACTAAGTCAATGCACGCCTAAAGGAATACACAAGATAATACAATTTAAAATAAAAATAACTAAATTATAAAATGAAATTCTTATCATTTTAATTTGAAATGTTATTATATTTTTCACCTACGTGACTTTACCTAAAGAACCAAAGTGTATGGATCCTTGCAGTCACGAAAACTTCAAATCTAGAATACACAAGACTTAAGGCATGGGGTAAATTTCCAAGGGCTGTTTTGGACAACTCCCTGGTCAAACAAATAGGATCCTGTCTGAAGAGACAAAGGCCATGACCTAAATAAATAAATAGCCGCGCCATGGACCGTGTGGCCAGTGGAGGAGGGGCGTGTGACCTCTTTGGACATCTGTTGAAAACAGCCCGCGGGTCAAATCGACAACAAAAGAAGGCATCGTCGATCGCACACGACTCGTAAAGTGTTCATTCGGTTTGCATTAAATAATTCTCACTGTTATCTAAAACTTAATTAATATATTCATAATAAACGTTTTTGGGTTAGATCGCGTTAATCAATATATTTAAAAAGTAATAAAAAATATCTTTAATAAAATGTTTTTTTAAAATAAATATATAGCCCCAGGTTTTAATCCGATATATAAAACGGAAAAATAATGTACGTAGGATAACGATTGTGGTGTGTTGTTATGTGGATGTACGATGTTCAAATTACAAAGATATGTAAACTATGTAGTTTATCAAGTTAGTCTTTACAGTCCGATTTATGGAGCCTTAAATGTTGCAATTGTATACTCTGTAGCTGCCTAACTGGTACGAGTCGGATTAAGCTCTTGAATCCACAAAGCAACACTCGCTCCTTTACAAGTGTTTACAACTTCTTTGTTCTTTCGGTAAAGTCACATAGAATGGAAATAATAAAATAATAAAAAAATAAAACATAATAAAAGCATATAACATTATTTTTTCTTTTATTTTCAATTTTTATTATTTTATTATTTCCATTCTACGTAACTTTACCGAAAGAACCAAGAAGATGAATCCCTGCAATCACGAAAGCTTTAAATCGAAAGGTGTTTACAATTCACCCCTTCCAAGACGTCTGCCCAGTGTGAACGAGATCGGCCCTGTTTGTGAGTGAGAGACAAAGACAAAAGACCCCTCTTATAGCCTTGTATGGACTTTACGTTGACCTTTCGCTGCGGGGTCAACCAAACTAAACACAATTAGCACAGTGTGTTGGGGCAAGTGCTGTTAGCGAGCACCTATTAAGTCCGGGCCGACACACGAGGGGGTGGGTGGCCAGCAACCGCACCCGGCCGCCTTTGTCTCCCTGGCAATATTTACACGCCGCACCAAGTCACTCATTTGAGGCCGGGTCGACCTAGGGGAGGCCCAGGACCGGTTCAGATAAAATCGTCACCGGTGTTTTGTTGTGAATGATGCAGCCACACACACACACACAGAGAGCTGACAAGAAGCCCAGGGACGAGAAATCTCCACGTGGTAGAGACAGAGACGACGGCGGCGGCCTTAGTCTCAACCCCAGCGTGGTGGTCGAACAAAGGGCTCGCTCGATTGTGATTGCGACCAGCTAATGTTACTCGAAACGCAATCCCATTGTAAACCATGCTGCGAGCAGTGGCTGGCAACATTGGCAGACACACACACACATATGTAGAACGGCAAACGAATGGCGATGTAACGAGTGTACAGTACTAACCTTTAGAACGCGCTTAGAAGATTACGGAAGGATGATGTCCAGCTGCTGGTTCGGTGAAACCTAAACCATTGACACAAATCGAAAGGTAAAAAAAACAACGTCCGTTTAAATAAAACAAAAAAACTGTAACCGAGACGTAGAAAAGGCACTAGACGTGTCGGACAGCCGGGACTTAACGAACCGGCTGTCACGCGGTGTTGTGTGACATCAAACCTGTCACACACTCAGTCGCCTCTCGGTTTGGCTGGGCGCAGGGCAACACGGATTGTGTTTGTGGCTGTCTGGGTTGAGAAGCTGCTGCGGTGGGTGACGCCCACATGGCAAAGTGACCAATCGGGTCGCGAGCAGCGATTGCCGGTCGGGCCAATGGCAACTCGCGTGTCCCCTGTGGCTTTTGGGTGCCCTTTGGCTTTTGTTGTGAGATTGTAAAATGTGCAAAAAACCCACGCAAGTTGCCATGAGTTAGGTGATGTCAGCGGTCTTGTGATCGTAGAGTCACTGGGTCAGTGTTGACTCAAGACGCCCAGTGACTGCGCCCTGATTGACACATTTTACAAATTATTGTCACCCGTGTTAGCGGGTCAAATCAAGTTTTAGTGGGTCCCTGTCAAGTTTCCGCAGTAGTGGGGCCATGATCGAGTAGTTTCAGTCCTTATTTTTTTATCAGTTTGGCCACAGTGGATTCTGACATGAGTATAAGCACATCAAGGAAAACAACATGAGTTGAGACGCAAACTCTTATAGAAAATTTTAAAAAAATACAATTCAATATAATACATTTTACAGTAATTATTCTGATATCTAAATTAAGTCAACCGTGATGGAATGAAACAGCATCACGCAGCTTGTTCAGCATGTTTGTGGTCTGGTGATGCGCCGAAAAATATTTACGCTTTGGGACCACATTGGGTTTGCTGCCAGAGGTCGCCAAACCTACGTCGTGGCGTTGTTTATTAAGGACCACACCGTCTCGTATTCATTACATGCAATGGGGAATCTTTACATATTGAGGGGTTTTTGTTACCGCATTCCATTTTTAAAAATGTCGTCTCTTGTTATTTTGGTTTGCCGGACCACCGGGTTAGCACCACCCACTGGCCAAACCCATTCCGACAATAAACGTTGCCAGACTAGAGGTTGCTTATACCTCTAGGGTTTTTTGTTTTGAATTCTTGGAAATTGTATTGTAGTCGAAATACCTAGAGTGTTTTAGTCGGGTTTTTTTTGTTACTATACAGCCGGGATCTATGGTCTGCTATTCAAGTCTTTACCCAAGGAGACACTAAACATGAGTTGTAAGACTTTTGAGAAAAGTGTTTTTGTTGATGGTCAACCAATGTAGGCTAAAGTTCAACCGTGAAATTTCTCGCTCATGCCACGACTGATGGAAGGACCGCCACTAGAGGGGAGCTTTGGAGAACCCATCCAAGGGGGGTACGTTGGCTTCGTCTTCCACACTGGGCAGACGTCTTGTAAGAAGTCGAGGATATACCCACACTTTATCCCACCACCCTGGACCTGCAATACAGATATTTGTCGTACCCGTTCACCAGTTGAATGTATTATACAGTACTCTCATCTAATAACAATTTAGAGGCATTTGTCAATCAAATGCTAGTGGAAGGCCAGGTTCGGTTTCGATATTGCTTGCTACTGATGTCAGGCGTGACCAGGAATCAAACTGAAGTACCTGCAGCCGTAGATAAGTATATAATCCACTGCATCACCCACCCTGCATCATAAGTCCCACCGGGTGATCTCCAAACCGATCCAACCCGCATTGATCAGCTGGTGGTGAAGTATGGCTGAGCAAATGTGGATTTGCAAGGGCTGTTTATCTGCAAGCGTCTATGCATTGCCTCTTCTTCCATCCCTAAGGAGCGGGAGGGGTTAGGGCCTGGGGGGATAACTCATGAAGATGATCCAATATGAACGAAGCTAAAGTGTAAAGTTACGTTTGCGCAAAACATGAGTCAAATGGCATATTAGCATTGTGCAAACGTGTTTTGCCTCAGAGTCTCATGACTCTTTTCAGGAGGATCCTGCCAAGTTTTTGCAGTTGGGAGCGATGATTGCTCTTGATATTATTCCGAGTAATTTGCAGGGACAGTCCTGTATTTTGTTTTCAAACTTGGACCAATGTTGCCGGCACACAATGGCATGCTCTTGCGAATGACGTCAAGGGATATTTAACGTCCACTGTGTGGAATTATATGGTTAATGCACCTGCAGTATTAATCAGTGCGGGCTGCTGGGTCGAACCGCGAATCTCTGCAAACAAACGACACACGGGATACCCCGCTGGGCCATGCCACCTGAAATTGGTAAATTAAACGCTTCCAAAGACAAACTCGCGTTGCAAAGCAAAACAGACCATGAATATGTTGATTTTAAGCTTTCGTGACTGCAGGAATCCATACTCTTTGGTTCTTTCGGTAAAGTCACGAAGGTAATGGATCACGACGTTTCGATCGCAACACAAGCAACCATCATCAGGTGAGGCCATGAATATGCGCAATCGTGCCGAAATCGTTATACTACGTACGGTATGTACGTATACTCTCGACACAGATACGTTTATGCTCTCGAGAAAGATATTACATTCAATTCAACTATTGGACAACCATTCTCATCTTGCGTACGTCAGCAATTTTAGGAACTAATTGGCAGTGTCAAGATACGTCTGTTAGCCACGACAGAGCACAGACTATGTACAGTTTACGATATGGTTCAGACTCCAGAGTTAATGGGGGGGAGGGGGGGTGCTTCATGCCCACAATCGCACTACTTTGGGAGGTCTTGAATCGTCCATCTATGAAGATGATTTGCAAAGGGCATTCGCGTGGGCTGATCACACCACCGGGGTTGCCTCTGGCCACACGCAGGGTCAGGATAATTTCTTAGTATGAAATGCCTCCTCAATTGAAGCCACACCATCAGTTAATTGCCATGGCGTGTTGGCCTGAGCCACTCGCGAGCCTTAGAAAATAATGTGCCCGTGGGTTGTGGGGATTTAAAAGTGATGGGAGTAGCCTCTCCCTGCGTGGCAGCGGCGTGGCAGCTCCACGTGAATGAGTGCCCCGTGACGTCAACAACACAAACGCACGTGGCGGCGGCCATCTTACGTAGGGAGCCAGTCCCTTTAATTTTTTTCAAATTAACATGTAGAGAGGACTTCTTCGTTGGGTCTTTTTTTGGTAGCCTTCGTTTTGTTTAGTTTTTTTGTTTAATACGTTCATCTGCGTGTTTTGTATAAATTTTTTGAGTAATGTGAGCTATGTTTAATCGGGTTTTTTTTACATTCATACCATTTTATGCAATTCTTATTCCTGTATTTGACCACTTAGATTTTTATTTTCAAGAGATTGTCACCTGGTTAAAAAAACGAATATTTGTTTCATCGTAAGTGCTACCCAAAACCTGTTTAATATACGAAATAAGTAGAGAAATAAAATATATTTTTTATGTCGTCGTGATATTGGCAATTATCTCACAACCGAACACAGATCATCTGCTCATTTCACTGACCAAGGATCGTTTTTTATTTCCCCTATCAAAAAAATATAAACTCCTGTCCACAAAACTGTTGTAGTGTGGAATTTTCATATTTGGTAGATTTATGTCAATACGGGACAATGCAGTTCATGCACCATGATACAGTGCAGTGCAAGTTAATAACAGTCATGAGAAAGAAAATAAATGCTTAAATGCTTAACAAGTTAAACAAGTTAAATGCTTAACAAGTTAAAAACACGTTTAACCCATAATGCATCACTAATTATCTTATGATGCTGCTGCTGCTTTGGCAGATGGCGCACAATTAACAAAAAACAAAACTCAACGCGTCCATCAAACAACACCGTGGCCTTAAAATACATTCTATAACAGGCGACGTTTCGGACGACGACCCTTGGCAAGAGGGCCAGAGAAGAGTGTATATTAAAAAAAAGAGAGAAGTTGGGATATTGCGACACAGCAATCCCATACTAACATGTCCACAGGCGACGTTTCGGACGACGACCCTTCGCAAGAGGGCCAGAGAAGAGTGTATATTAAAATAAGTATAACCCGTAAAAACAAAGTTTTTCACTATAAATCCTTTATATGCGTGGCGGCTAGAGTCCTCTCGTCCTCTGGCTTGAGATGGCTGCCACCTATGGGTCAGATAATTGTCTGCAGTATTAAACAATTGGTAATTAAATATAATATTTTTGTCCTATAAAGTGTAAAATTTTGAAAAAAAAATTCACGAACATTAATTGTCACGCACAACGAGTCTGTGTGCAAAACGTCAGCTCGATTGGATCACGGGAAGTGGGTTAAAAAACGACCGAAAGATTTGCACGGTCCTAAGCAAGCAAGCACGCAAGCAAGCAAGCACGCAAGCAAGCAAGCGAACTTAATATAAAGGATTTAAAAAAAAAGAGAGAGAAGTTGGGATAATGCTACACAGCAATCCCATACTAACATGTCCACCTGGCGTGGCTTCATCCGCCAACAGAAGAGGGCCCTCAACAGCAGCGGGTCTCAAATCGTGCGTGGCAACGTGGGACGGCCGTGGCTAAATCCATCCGGCTCACGCAATCGTTACACAAAAGTGTCTGGCCACCCACCACCACCAGAGACAGCCACGTGGGTTGGTTAAACACTGGGCCCCACAGTGTCTTGTGCAACGTTGATATAGTTTGGTTGGTGGAGGAGGAGACAATTGAGATTTAATTCGCGGCTGGATGCTGCCCAGGGGCAGAGTTCACAACAGAAGCAGCCGCTCGTTTTCACGCACTCGAGCTGCGATCCACGCAGTATTGGCGCTGCTCTCCTCTCTTTAAACATTAATTCTATATTTTCTTAATGTTCTTCTTGCTGCTGCTACTGCTGCAATAACAAGAGCTGTCTCTCGTCGTCGTCGTCGTTATTATAGTACAAGGTCTTTTACGTGCAATAAATACGGAGCGCCCCGTTAGCTCGGCACTTTTTTTTGAGTACTGTACTCAACCAAGCCCACATGGCAACCGCTCAAGGTAGGTGTGTGTGTGTGGTGATACCATTTAGATTTGCGCCGGAGCTGACCTAGAGGTGATACCGATTCGTTCGAGTGAAGCCCGTGGAAATGCTTTTCACGATGTAGGAGTGAGTTGTTATTTTTCATCGCCCGGTTGAAGTTATATATTTTTTGTAATGTAACATGCATGGCTTGTGAATTCACTTAGGAGGTATTTCGGTTTTATAACCTTACACGTTGGGTGGTAATTGTATTAACCGGACATCATTTGCAATTTCGTACCACGATGTTAATGATTTGTGTGGCTTTTTTTAATGTTTGACCGCTGGATAATTTTTGACATTTAAATTGGTGGGGGGGTCAATCTCGTCTGGACTGCGTGCAGATTCGCCACTTCCACGACGCAGCGTTTGCCGTCGGAATCGAATGTCACCGGTCATTTGTAACTCGGTAGTCTTTGACTCTTTGTCCACAGAGGTGTTGGTTGCTAATGCGAATTGTCATCGCGTGTTACATATATCCGCAGGCCCAGGTTGGTTTTATTTATCAGTGGCGACGATCACGCACCCACTCGTACAGTAATTGGACATTGGAACGTGTTTAATTTGACGACGTAAATTATTAATCCAAACAAGCCGTGCTGTTATCTAGGCCGTAATATAAAATGCACGTTCGTCATCATCTTCACTGTCGGATGAAGGCTTCCTTCGTGGCCTTGCGAGATGCACCCATCCCCCACGTGTCCTGCACACGAGATGATGCCATCCCTCGGTCATGTTGCGCGTTGTGTCATGCCACGTGCAGACAATTGCAACCAATTACGTCTCGTTGTAATCATCCCCAAATTGAGCTACAGTATATCCCACCTTGACCCCTTGTGTAACATGCGAGTCTTCATAGTTTATATTCTGGTGTGGAGTCGGAATAATTCCCTCGCCCTGGCTGGTGTGAGCTCACGTGTCAGTGAGCAGGACATTGTCAAGAATAGCTGACGAAGAAAAGTGTCCACGTTTGTAGCAGGTGGCTAGAATATGTCACGGTGAATACGGATATATGAGGTGTTTCAGCTGTCTGTGTGTTACTGTGACGCTGTTGAACCTGCTTAACCTCCCAGTTTGCTGTGGAATACAGTACTTGCAGCCCCGTTGAACACAACCAGGGTTCGGCAACCCAAATAAGGAGAGACACTTTTGTTCAAATCCGGTTTAAAAAAAAAACCCTAATATTTCAATGCATGTGTGAATAACCATCACGAAGCAACTCATTAAAGAGCCTCAGGTTGACGAATCTCCTCTGACCTAAACCATATTGGGACGGTCATAATTTCATGCCATGTTTTGCTGCCAGCTTTTAAACTTTCCTCTTGCGTCTGGTGACCTCCTTGTGGAGTCCAGGGTTAGTGGATCACACAAATGTTGTACAACTCCCTTCCCGGTGGACGTTGAGGTTTCCATACCCTGGCTCACCATGGGGAAGGCGGCAGTACAGCAAGTGGACTAATCGCCACGTGTTTCCATCAGTACGGGGATAGAGCGTTTTCTCTGGGTCCTCTGGTTTCATCCCGCTTGTATAATAAACACATCATAAATTGGCTGAAAACATAATTTCTATTTTTTAAACCAGTGTAGTAGAACCCTCTTGGAAAAAAAGAGTCCTACTGTAACAAAATAAATCTTACTGTGTGAAGTGTGAAAACTGAAAAGTAGAAAACTCTTAAGTCGTGTGCTCATTGTGTCATTAGGCAAGTCGGTTAATCAGGTTATACAGTGCATTATGCAGAGGCTACTTGCCAAACATTCTTCATTATGTAAATTTGGTACAGGATGCTTCTACACGACAGTGTTTGATAAAGCATTGGAGTGGAATCAATTTGCCGACATTCCATACTAGTGCAAAATAATTGCGGGGTTTTTTCCCTAACTACCACGCATAAAATGAAGGTTATAACATCCATAAACGTGGAAAGTTTGGTTCATTGTAGTCAGGTTTGGTGAGGGTTTTTAAACTGAATTACTTTTGCCCTCAAGCAGTTCCAGCCATTTAATAACTTACAGTTCATGGCTACTATGTTATATAAACACTGTACTGTAAACCGAACAGTTGCCAATTGCTGTAAAAAAAACTCCCCCAGTAATCTACTGATATAAGTGTAGTTGAGGTGGAAAAATACTTTTAAATCATTTGGAGATTACACTTGTAGTCAAGTTTCGAGGAAGTGTTTAGAAAATTTAAAATATTAAGAATAATGTTTTGCAACATGCCTAAATAACATGCCCCATGGGTATCCCTGCTACAACAAGCTACTGCGGTGCCTTGAATTGCATCCCACTGGGATTTTTGCACACAGCGTTGGTGTACGGTGATTTTTTTCTGCAATGTTTTGCTGTCTTTTCTTGGATTTCTGTTTGCACTTAGTCACATATTCACTTTAAGATGTTTTTTGTTCATGTTTTTGTTTTTTTTTGTTGCGGTTGCACCCGCTTCAAGAGCCGAATGGCTCACAGGGCTATACCTAATAAATGAACTTGAATTGAATTGGCTGTCTGCGAATGGGCAGTGAAAATATTCTGAGCGCGCGTTGACTCCGCTGTTGACTCTTGTGTGCTTGGCGAACGAAGAATGTACCTCCCGGGAGGAAATGACAAGGTTCTGGAAGGAGCACTCGCAAGAGGCTACACTGGAGCAGATGATGCTGGATTCAAAGGCCTCTACTCTGGCTGAGGAGGAGAAGCCGGAAATCCTCTCGCTGTTGCCAAACCTGGATGGAACCGACATCCTGGAACTGGGAGCTGGCATTGGGTCAGTGTTGACTCTGAGAATGTAAATAAGTATAACCCGTAAAAACAAAGTTTTTCACTCTAAATCCTTTATTTGCGTGGCGGCTAGAGTCCTCTCGTCCTCTGGCTTGAGATGGCTGCCACCTATGGGTCAGATAATTGTCTGCAGTATTAAACAATTGTTTGTTTTCCTTAAACAGTGTAAAATTTTGAATTTTTTTTTCACGAACATTAATTGTCTCGCACAACGAGTCTGTGTGCAAAATGTCAGCTCGATTGGATCACGGGAAGTGGGTTAAAAAACGACCGAAAGATTTGCACGGTCGTAAGCAAGCAAGCGAACTTAATATAAAGGATTTAAAAATATATATTCACGGCACACATGCTAGCAATATGGTGTGTAATATGGGCCAAGCCGCTTTTACGTTAACTACAGTGAAACTCTGATTATCACAAACTTATGATCTCAAATATCCAGCACTCCTTATATCTGTGTCCCTGAATTCATTTGTGAAAACTCTCGTAAATATAGATGAGAGGAGTTTTCTAGAAGACATCCATATATTTAATATTCTCATGCCATTTTTTTTGCCACTAAAGAATCACCTGACAAATCTAATTAATATTTTTCAAAAGAGGAGTCACAAAGAAAATGTATTATATTAACCGTGGATAACTTTGTGGATAAGATAATTATTTGAACAAAAAATGGAATGAGAACTCTCAGCTCTGAAATTGTTTATCTGTTAACAAAACATCAATGCACAAAATAGAGGAGGCCTACATAATTTAATCGCGAATATTTAACCTTGCCATTATTGTACATTAAATCAGAGTGCACCTTTAAGACTTGCTACATTTTGCAAATTATATTTGTAACATTTTTTTCTTCTATATAAAGGTCATGTATTTTGCTTTGGCAGACGTTTTACTGGACACCTAGCCAAGATTGCTAACCACGTGACTGCAGTGGATTTCATGGAGACCTTCATTGCGAAGAACAAGGAAGACAACGGTCATCGTGAAAACCTGACCTTCCTAAAGGCTGACGTCACTCAGCTGGATTTTCCAGCCAACAGGTAGAGGCTTCCGATGTCATTTAGATAACTTTACGATGTGTTGAAACCACGTTCGTGACCATTTTGTACACAGCCGTGCCAATCGAGTCGGGCGCTTTACCACTTCGTTTTTACAGCTTCGACGTCATCTTCTCGAACTGGTTGTTTATGTACTTAACGGATGAAGAGATCCTGGTACTCGCCAGAAAGATGCTTACGTGGCTGCGACCTGGCTGCCATCTCTTCTTCCGCGAGTCTTGCTTCACCCAGTCTGGTTTGTCCCTTTTTCCACAATATTCCATTTCACGACATCCCTTGCAAACAAAAATCTACCAAGTAAAGTGCTTTGGCAGTGCATAACAGTTAAATTTGTGACAAGCAGTGGCATGAGCAAGCAATTTCAGGGCTGTACCTTTTAACTTTTAAAAATAAGAATTTGTGTTTGTGAAGCTGCTGTATGTTGAGACTGTGTTGCAAAACTTTTGCAGGCGATGGTCATCTAAACTTTAACCCAACCAAGTATCGTAAACCGGCTGCGTACAACCACCTGTTGCAGCTGGGTAGCCTGCCTGTGCCTAACAAGGAGGACAAGAGTGTAGGCTTTGAGATTGTAATGTCCAAGTCGGTCCAGACGTACATCAAGGTAAATGCTCGAACTTAAACGTCATTCTTAAAACGAGCAATTGATTTGTGGCTGTCGGGTGCATGTTAACGAACAAAATGGCACCTATTTGCATATCCCCAAGTAATATGCATCTTTCCCATTGCAATTGCAACCCGGGTCACCTTGGCCTGTCATGGAATCATCGCGTGAAATGCTGCTGCTGTTTTGTGTTTTTACAGTTCAAGAACAACAAGAACCAGATGTGCTGGCTAATGCAGAAGGTCCAGCGGGACCAGGCTGCCAACTACGGATTCGCCACCTTTCAGCAGTTTCTGGACACGCAGCAGTACTCGTCCCGTTCCATTCTTCGCTACGAGAAAATCTTTGGCCACGGCTTTGTCAGCACAGGTGGCCGCCAGACCACCGAGGTGCGTTGAGGACCGTCAACTTACGTTCAAGAATTCCGTTATAGTGCTCCAGTGAGGTCACGTCCCTAAGATTAAAACACTATAAATGAGGACATAAGGACGGAGTGCCCTGACTGTGAAGTCGTGTCAGTATGGAATCTTCTCAAACTCTTTGGCGAGCCCGGGACACAGCCAAGTGGAATTGTCATTGAAATGCACTGGGCTTTATCTCTCTGAGAGTCCACATTCATTAGAATGGAGATCCAGGAATCACGTGTTAAATGAACGAGGATTCTGAATGGTGATTGAATCTCATTTAAATGACGATTCCTGTGTCACCATTCAAACGAATGCGATTCATTTGGACGATTTCTTCTGTGATAGACTGCCTGTTAGAACCACATTCAAGTGAATGAAACATTGACTTGAGAACCACCCACAGAGGCATAGTGATTGCCACATGAATCGTCCAGCAATAGTGGGTGTATTATTGTATATATTGCATTGCATATGTGAAAGATCTTGAAGTGAGATAATTCCTGAATAAAAGACACAAAGAACAAGCATCCTTAAGTATTTTGAGAGTGAGATTTTGTTGTTTTATCGGAGTGTGACACTGTTTGCTTTTTCTCAGGAGTTTTTGGCCATGCTGGGACTGCGACAAGGACAGAAGGTCCTGGACGTTGGCTGTGGCATTGGAGGGGGTGACTTCTTAATGTCTAAGGTGCATAACATTTATTTTGCGATTGTCATTGTAAATATCTGTTGTGCATGCTTAATATTATGCAACGTGCACAAAATACGCTTGAAAAGTATACAATTGTGTTTGTTGTAATTTTTCTGTTTAATATTGCATGGTGCTGTGGTGTTGGAGCATTTATTCCCCACTGAAGCAGTTTGCTTGAAGTTAATTAGTTTAATTCTTGCACAGTAATTCCTGTAGGAAATTACCGAAGCACAGCATCTGCTCGAAGTTAATTCGCCAAAGAACCCATCACATGAATAAGAGAGTTCCGTTCTGTGCGAGTATCGCTGCCAATTTAATAAAATATCAGTTTGTCCAAAAGGTACAGATCATCATGAATGCTTTTAAATGATGGGATTCCTCTGCCAGCTGAGCTTCAGAATTGCCCTGTGTGATTTCTGAGTGAGATGGCCCAGGTAGCTGGCTCAGTGGGGGATAATACCAACTCACATTCTGAGGTGGCACCTACTGAGATGCTTGGTTCAAATCCACCAGCCACATGTTATTAAATCAGGTTCTAAAGTATAGCGGTGACACACTGGTTACTCAATAAACCTAGCCTTATATATCCAACTTTAAAAATTATACATTACGGCTTTTATATGCAATAAGCAGTTTGCGAGTTTTTTTTAAGTGACTTCTCAAGTATGAATTATTCAAATCAAGTTAACAAAAGAGAGTGTTTTCCATAGTACAATTTAGTTTTTAAATCATGTTTATTTCTCGTGTATACTGTCTGTACTCGATCATGGCTTTCTACTTGGCTCTGTCCATGACATTTACTCAAGAACGTTGCATTAGATACTTCCAGTTGCATCCAATTGTTCAAATTGTTTATGGTGCATCTTAATTCGCTGTCTTAACCGGCTTTACTGTATTTTAAAAATAGTATTTCGTCTGAAATCACTTCTACATACCCCTGTATTTTGGTCCCACGAGATGTCCCGCATGGGAGGCATGGCATACGAAATAAATGTCGGTGATGATGAGAGCTCTGTGAGATCATCCCCAGAGCCATTCGCTGACGACGATGCATCGCTCACTTTGAGAGTTCCGAGTGGCGATTTCTCCCCGTTTGATGGCACGATATCAATAGTACAATTGGAATATTTTTTTTCATCTGAAAAAAATATTCTTAATAGGTTTTTTGAGCTGTGGCCTAACAGCTTTACGTTTCAACTTTGTTGTGTCCGTCGCTAGATATACGGAGTGGAAGTGCTTGGCGTTGATTTGTCATCCAACATGGTGGCGATAGCCATGGAGAGAGCTGTGGAAGAAGACGCCCCATTGGTACGCGTCGCGAACAACAAGCTTACGACTTACACGGCAGTTCGGCCTGCGGCATATTTTCCTCAATGATTTACAAGCACTGCCCGCACGTTTGCGTGGGGATATAACTTAAGGGAATTGCAAGCAGTGGTTTTCTTGCATTTAGTTTCCCAACAGACTCACGGCCGACTTTTAATCAACAACAATAAGAATGACATATCAACCACGCGAACAACAATATAACAACAATGATTTGATGTAGCAGCAACAATAACATCAACAATAATGACAAAATCATTAACGACAATAAGATAATTGTTCATAACAGCATCAACAGCAATAATGTATCAACAGCACCAACAACAATATCACACGTTGTTTTACATAGTACGCAGTACTACGTAAACGGCTCTGCCATCCCAGCCACGTTTTTAGTTGTCCTTCCCCCGCACCTTCGATTAGCACGGTTGGCTACGTACAGTGCTCAAAAAAGTGCATCATACATACATACAGATATGGTCTCCATCCATGCCCTTTGTGGCGTCACCCGGTCGTACGACAAATTCTCTGAAACCCCCTCCAGCTTGGAACTGAACGTGGCGTACGCAGCGCCACCCCCTCCGTCTCCCGAAGCCGCTCGTCTGTTCGGAGGCCATGGTCATCGTCGATTCCGATCAATCGATTTGTGCGCAGTTGGGCGGTTCTCCCGATTGTTCGCATTAATCCAATATATTTTTTATCAGGCCTGGATACGAAATTTCAGGTGATCTGGAAACACTTTGGTTAGAACTGATCTGAAAACTGGAAGTGATGTCACTAATATGATGCCACTTCCACGCTGCCCCACCCCTCCTCTCTCCACCCCCAAAAGTGGTGTCGCATGGCATCGGGTGACACCGCTGCTGTTAACAAGAAGACGGTTCATCACAGTCTGGGATGTAAATGATACGAAAATGTGTAACTGATCTGAAGTTGACCTTCAATGTCCGAAATATCTAAATCCAAAACTCACCCCAGGCACAAAGGGTATATTGTAGATACCTCATGCATCCCACACTGCAGGTCGCAGGGTGATTTGAGAGTAATTGACACAGCGAGCATAAACGTGTGACCATAGAAGTAGAATACAACAATGGATTTTGCCGCAGTGCACAAGCAACACATAGCCCTGCAATCCCTGTCACAGCAGCCAGCTGCGTGCAGTGTTCACCTATACAAGCACTCGCCAGGCTCACCCCCGCAAAGCACTGATATTTGTGACTAATTTGTCCTCAAAAGTTTGAAACCTTTGCCTTCTCGCGCAGGTGCAGTTTGAGATCAGCGACGCCACCAAGCGCGTGTTTCCAGAAAATTCGTTCGACGTGGTTTATAGCCGAGACACCATCCTCCACATCGCCGACAAAGTGGGGCTCTTCAAGAGTTTTTATGTAAGCGAGGTGGCCTGCCACAGTAAAAGAGCACACAGTTGTGTTGTCAGACCGAATAGCTCGCCGCTGTGGGCGCCACGGTGGCCAGATGTTAACTACCTTGCCTGGTATACAGGAGGTCATGGGTTTGATCCAGACCCTGGCGCCTATATCTTTGGAGTTTGCATGTCTCTCTGTCTCTTCCTGTGGTCGCATGGATTTTTGTCCAGGTCCTCTGGTTTTTCCCTAACATTTTGAATCAGCATCCGTTTTGGAGTATTTGGCTGCTATAAATTTCCACATGATGATAAGCTACTTAGTTGAGCGATCATTTGTGATAGCCAGGTCGCTTCTGAAAAAAAGCTATGTTTCTCAGTGGGCCTTATCTGGTAGAAAATAAAAATAGTAAAAAAAAAATTGCTGGAGGATAAAAATGAGAGTTGTGTACAATATCAACCTCGAGCCATCCTATGTGTTTTCGGGTTGTACCACGTATCGTTCTTTCAAACAAAATTTAGTTTCTGACAAAGCCTCCATTACGTGGAACGAAACGTCAGACATAATGCCGGATGACACGCGGTACAACCGAAAACACTTCGGGAGAGCTGTGCAGTACAGTAGAACTGCAAACACTTGCTCGGTAGTAACATCAAACAATCAAGTCACAAAGGTTTTAGGTAAGGCTTCAGCGGAGGAAATACACTACCTTGAAAGATCAACAGAGGGTGTGTAAAGAGCAGCTCCAAGAAATATTTTTCCGAGGAATGTTCCTATCAAATTAAGCCAGTAGAACCATCACTGGTTGGACTGCTGTGCCAACTTACTCATCGATAAATTAACTGCTTTGTCATTTGAATTGCGTGTGCCCTGTGATTCTGGAGAACGTGAGGCCGTGTCCTTTACAAAGTGTTTCTCCGCTGAAATGAGCATTGAGGCGCCGCTGTTCTGTTTACAGCCCTAAGCCAGTGGTGGAAATTCCAATTTGCTGTGGTGGGAGTGAGTCCACAGAACAACCACTCTTGACATCCATAAGACAACATCAAAGTGCTCCTCGAATTATACCGGAGGGATGATGTGCCGAGTGAACGCATGGCCACAACCAGCATTTGAACTCGAAACTACAATAGCGGACCGCTCGCACGACCGCTGAGCCACTCGGTGTGTCCATTCCATATTCATGATACACTCAACGAGCTGCCACAGCTGTGCCTGGGTGACGTATACAGTTGCTCATCTGAATTTTTTTCTATTATAGTTAAGATTCCCATACTGTTTATATCCGCGGTGTTTTTTTGTCGCATGCAGGCCTGGTTGAAGCCTGGAGGCAAGTTGCTCATAACCGACTACTGCTGCGGTGCCAAGCCTTGGTCTGGTTTGTTTGAGGCTTACGTGAAGGACCGTGGATACATTTTGTACGAAGTCTCTCAGTATGGCAAGGTGGGGTATCCACCAACACGTTTCATTTTTGCACGGATGTACTTTGTTTTTGTGCACCATTCAAACGGCACGTAGATTTCCGCACCGCCACTCGTCGTCTAAGCCTGGTCTTCTAGGTTAGGCCACGTCTTGAGTATTTCTTCTCTTGCCACACACCACTGCAGGCGTCTACAGTAATTTAACTGAAGATGCAGTTTTGTGTTGTGAAAGCTTACGGAGATGTGATGAGCACACTGCCTGGCCCCGAAGACCACACTTGGATTGTTCAGATTGTGATGATGTGCAACATAATTTCAATATCATTTGTTCATGGCACTAGGACATAGAGATAACAAAATATATCAAAACGATTGATGAGGCGAGCTGTATTCCTGTGTTTGGTTGTGCTCTTCTAGTTCCTGGAGGCGGCAGGGTTTGTGCGTGTGAAGGCGGAGGACAGAACAAACCACTTCGTAGAGGTGGCCAAAGAAGAGGTGGCTCGCACAGAGCTCGTCAAGGACGAGTTTGTGAAGGTACAAGCCACGTGTGTCTGGGCACAGAGTTTAAACATGTTTACTTCCCCCCCCCCCCCCCCCCCCCCAGTTGACTTATTCCCCAGTGGTGGTGGTGGCTATGCAGGTGGCTGCCTGTAGTTCAGCACTGTGGAGGCAGCAGCGAGGGTTGGCAAGCCAGGGTACGGCACCTCCCTACCCTGGCTCGCCAGCAGAATGCAGTACAGCAAAGTGTGGACTGGTATCATCTGTCCCTTCTGTATGGGATAGAGCGTTGCCCCCTCGCACATGTATAATACACACTAATTGACTGAAAACATCTTCATATATTTAGAGAGCTGCAGAGCAATTGTTGTCGCCGGATCACTGCCTGCCAGCTTTCCAGCTCGTGTCTGTGGTTCCTCAGCGAATGTGAGATGCAATATGCATGAACGGCGCTATATACAATTAATAATTCGATTTTTTTTTACATATACTTTTTTTTAATTCCAAAAGTGCTATCGCATCATGTCATACATCATAGAATTTCCATGAGGAACTTTTATTGTGTCGAAGCAAGAACATCTGTACCCATCCAGACAAAAAAATCTGGATATTGTAAATTAAATGGTGGAATGAAATTTTTTTTTTAAGAAACAATTCTCGAATCAAATTGTGACGTTGAATCGTGACTTTTCATAGAATCCCTGGGGTGGGGTGAATTGTCATATTGATCCATGGGCGAAAGACTAAATATTTTATTTGTCGTTAGCGCCTCAGATGGCAATCCTTGAGCAATAATACCAACATCTTTATATAGGCAATAAGAGTCAATTCTACAGTAACCTTATCTTTCTAAGTATATTATCACAATGCATATTATTGGAATCGCTTAATATTTGCCAACTTAATATGTAATATTTGCCTCTTGTGCTCAGGCTCAAGGTACTGCTATTCCCTTTGAGGGCTTTTATTTGCAAAGATGGACGAGAGAACGAACTAAATGCGCTCTCTCCCTTGGGTTTCACCGCAGGAATTCTCACAAGATGACTACGACTACATCGTCAAGGGCTGGCAGGAGAAACTCTACCGGTGTGAGCTGGGCGACCAAAAGTGGGGCCTGTTCTATGCCGAGAAGGCCACCGACCCCGCCTGCTATTGAATATAAAAAAGTGCCTTTTTGCAGGAGCACACACGTGCACTCCCTCTCGTTGAATATTGATGTGTGCAGCGTTCGCAAAAGAAAACTAGGCTTGTTGTTTTGCATCCGCTTTGCATTTCTAAGTAGAGTTAATTCAATCTTGATTTGAAGCTTTCGTGACTGCAGAGTATAGAGTTAATTCGTTTAATGAACCCGTACATCCCAAGAGTGGATATCGTAGCGTTAATTTGAACAGGACGGTTTTGATTCCTTTGGTACTAATTTTACTTTATACCCAGTGTTATAAAATACAAACGGATTGAAAGTAATTTCATTGCTGGTTGAAGACCTGTCCAGGTGCAATATTTAATTTAGTATTTTGGATAAAATGTGGCACACCATGAAAATGTTTAGTTTCTTTAAAAATAATTGTATCTTTTACCTATTGATGTATTAACATTTCCATTGTTTAAAAAGCAATATTTGCTTTTTCAATACAATCAGAATTACTATTATCATAATCATAACAGTAAGGTGACCTGTGCACCTTTTAAAGGACTTATGATACAGTGCTTTAAATGTCAAAGTTATTTTATTACATCTTATTCCTGTTTATGCAAACCTATAAATTAGTTGCTTGCGAAAGACACCAGCTACTGTGGAATTGTGGTCATGCAACCCAATCTGTGGACCATACAGTAAAGCCACTTCACTGGAGTCTGCGCTTCTTGAACAGAGGAGGAGTTGCGAGTTTAACATGCAGGAGACTTTCGCAACCAATATCCATAATATAGGCTTTTTGGATTAGATCGCTTAAATATAAATGTGTCGTTAAACCCGCCACCACCCGACAGCGAATTAGGTAAGGCTTGTCACGTGAACAACGTGCCAATTCGTTACTAGTACAGCGCACTGGTGAGTTGGAGAGCACATCCACAACATTTACAAATGAGTACGACGTTTCGCCAGTAAATTTTCATAGCGAAACGACTCAACTTTTCACCCCTGTCATGGCCAGCAGACCTCCACGTTGACATTTAGCTCCTGGGACGTAATGGCCATGACGCAAGGCTAGCTTCCTGGAATGATGTCCGTGCCATTTTCAGTCGTTTAGCCTTAAAACGTATTCTAATCCGTCAATGCGGCTTGTGCAAGATGCTATAAACGCTTGATCAGGGATCTTAAAAGTGTAACACGTGGCTAATGTGTTACATGCGGTTGGTTGGTTGCATGCTGGGCTCCGTGTGTTCCTCATGTTTTTCCCCCTAACCACGTTTCGGTTGAATCAAGTCGGTTTAAAAATAAAACGAACATATTGCAGTGTTAACGTGCATGTGTGCATGTACAGTATAAGTATATGTGTGTATGGGGCCGTCCATAAATGACGTCACGTCCCTGGGGGGGGGGGGGGAGTTCAGACATTTGTGACGATGTGTGACGGGGGGGGAGAAATGTGACGTCACATCAAAATGCGCAACTTTAAATAAATATAAACAACACGTTCTACTTAATTAAATAGACCTTTTAATAAATGTTTTCTCCTACAACATCAGAGTGCAGCGCCACATTAAATACGCACTCCAGTCACAATAGTTTAAAGCGATTTTGAAGCATGTGGTTTTTTTTGGGGGGGGGGGGTGGCAGAGCTTTGTTACGTCATATTTGAGGGGGGGTCTGACTTTTTGTGACGACGGAGGGGGGGGGGTCAAAAATCGCGTGACGTCATTTATGGACGGACTCTATATACGGAGGATCTTTGTTTTGTATATATAGGGAAGCGGTTAGCGTGCTGCTCGACCCGAGTCCGATACCCGCACATGGCCAGCACCAATGGTTATTAATTACAGTATCTGAACCGGTACTGGGCTTCCCCTCGGTTGACTCGGCCTCAAATGAGTACCTGGTGCGGTGTGTAAATCATAGCCCCTGGGGAGACAAAGGTGGTCGGGCGTGGTGCTTGCCACCTACCCCCCTCGTTTACCGTGCCGGCCTTCATAGGGGCTAGCCGACAGCACTTTACCCAACAGTCTGTTAAGGCTATACGGGGGATCTTTGTTCTTGAAAGATCATGGATTTCCTGATCGTTTATCTCTCGGCTCATGTGTCCGCTGTAGGTGGTTAACTGCACAAGCCATTGAGCATGCACGTGTGTGTACGGATCCGACGTGCATCTTTTTTATTTATGCTGGACAAGCAAATTTTCCTTGCTCATTAAGCTACTCGGGTCGTAGTGATTACCCACCCACGTTTACCATCATGTGATGCAATCATAATACATTTACAATTAAATTAGATCCCATTATTCCACGACTTAATTGGAACACAACTGTCGCCCACAATTTGCATAATTGGTTTCTCATTGTTATACTGATTCCAATAACAAAATCAATCTCCCAACTTGTTTGTAACGTCGAGATTAAAAAAATATTCTCCTAACTGATTGAAGCTGTACGCGCACCAAATGACCTGCATGGCGGATACAACAATGAAGATCAAGCACATTGCCATTTCCGTCGGGTTAAGACGCTAATAAGGACATTGCTTGAGAGGTTAATCCTCTTTGCCGGCAGGATGTTTATAGAGGTGGTGATCTCCAGCAAGGGACATTGGCGGAGTATTTCGGGTAGGGCTTTAACTTTAAGGCCCGGCTTTGATCAATCAGTGGCAGAATTTCAAGATATTCACCGGGGATGCGCGTCTCGCCACTACCACCACTCGCTCGTTCACTCACCAACCTCGACAAGAACATGGAGAGTATACAAACACGTCGCTGATCAACTCCCCCGTGCCATACAGCCGTGCAGCAGATGTCCAACGCAGCTCTTCGCTACAACCAACACGCTCGTCGGACAAAAACAAATCGACAACGCGTGCCGTTCAAGGTAAGTCATCATCACGGTCCGAGTGCTTCTGTCGGGATTCCGTTCCCAAATCCCAACAGTAGTTGGGCAGAAGGATAGGAATGCGAGCAGATTGTGTCACCGATCCTCGGCAAACGTAATCTTAAAATAATGGGAAGGTTTTTTTGTATTGCCCCAAGCAAAGCCCATTGAGCTGAGATGTTCTTTTTGAAGGGCACCTCTGCCCGCAGCCTCGGATTTGAAGTTGAAGCTTTCGTTATAAAAGCGAATACAGTCGACTGCATTGTCTCGGTAATAACAGCTGATGGAGCCTCATTTCACTGTCGGATTTAAAGAAAAAAATAATTAGACACATTCTAAATGCCGAAGGATTCGAGCTGTCTGGTATTAGTGTTACGGAAAATGACTGTGCGTGTACATGTAAGCAGCCCTTGAGCTGACGGGCTTCCAGGCTCACGTGCGGTTCGTGAGAGTTATATTATTTGACCATGCTTCACCACGCTGGTTCATGTGGGTTTGGTGAAGGCTTGGAGCGTAGGCGTGATGGCAAATATCGTTGCAGAGTACGACATACAGGTGGAGAACAGGTCTGTCGAGAAGGCAGACTCTGCCTTCTCGACAGACCTGTTCTCCACCTGAAGACGGCTGCTTGCGTTGTGGCCGAAACGTCGTGAGAATTATTTTATTATGTTTTCTTATTATTTTATTCTTTTCCTTCTACGTGACCTTACCGAAAGAACCAAGAAGATGAATCCCTGCAGTCACGAAAGCTTAAAATCGAAAAATAATAATGGATGTTTGCTGCCCACAAATGTAAATTCACAGGTAGGCTGTTTTATTTACCATTTGGGGAATGTACCTTATAACAAGACGCTTCGGAAAGTAGGACGCACCTACTCGTTTTAGAACCGTCAATATGGTTCTAATATTCCCGCACACCTACAGGATTATAAAACACACACCTCATAACAACTGCTTTAAACTTTCCAGGGGAGGAAAGTGCATCTTTATAAATCCGGAGAATACCGTTAATCGCCTTACAGCAGAGAACAACCTCATATCCGCGGCCCTATTAGCTGTGACTCCTATTATCCGTGACCCTGTTACCTGCGACTCATTATCCACGACTCCTAGTATCCGCGACTCCTATTACTGGCGGTAGCTGTAATGTTGGCAAAAGTTCGCGTTACTCGCGGCGCTATTCCTCCCGATTAACCGCGGGGGGTTATCCACGATATTTATTTCTCACCCGCGAATAGAAATAAAATCACGGATACGGATTATAGGATCTGCGATATTTGGTCTCGTTAACCGCCCCTACCCCCATCATCACCACGGATAATCGGAGGAGTTCCTGTGTAGAAGATACCGCTAGGAGGTGGTAAGCAGACTTGTTGGTGAAAGTGTAGTGACATAGAATTGGTTGCTACGTAACATAGCACTGCTTGCTGGCAGAGAAGGGGATCTGCAGTTGCAGCAGCCCTGACTGACAGCAGGTCACGTGATAAACCAGAGAAAGGGATGTAGGGAAAAGGTTACAGAGGGGGCACGTGAGGGAAGCCCTGGAACCCGCTAGTAGGTTCTAGAAAGGGGGCGTGGCTGGGACGGAGCGAGGCCACGCTGGGAGGATAAAAGGTGACCCCGAGCAGGAGCTCGGGGCTGTCGCCTGGGCGCTGTAGTTACTTTGTGTGGACTGTGAAGGCTGTTAATAAACAGAGTGCCTCCTACTCTTCGTGTCTCTGAGTCAGTCGTCACTACAAAATTACAAAGTGGGATTTTGTATCAGAGGCTAAACAAGTTTTTTTTTTTAATGAGCCAGATGTTACTTGTCAAAGTTGCTTGTTTATATACTGATTGAAACTGAGCTAGAGCGTTTACGATATTTGTTCGACACTTTGATGGTGCATTTTTCTTGCACTTCATGCTAAGTGTTTTACTATTTACTAGAACTAAACGACGAATTACGTAAACGTTATATATGTGTACACGCGTATAAATCGTACGCTTGGAGGGCAGAGTCAAGGCTGTGAAGCCTAATGTATAGTGTTTTAAAGCCACGTGTTTGAATGGACATTCTTATGTATACTATACCATCGATATCATCATCACGAACCACGGGCAGATAACCCGTAGGCGTCCGCTGCACATTTCGTAAACAGACCTCGATGACGGTAATATTGGCGAGTATTTACCATGCGGGAAAGCCTCGCTGAGTCTAAACCAGGATCTTCTTAACCTTTGCTGCAGCCTTGCGCCCCTTTTGGGTCTCAATCGTTAAAACGTGCACGATGTTAATAAACACGTAGCTTTGATGAAACAAAGTAGTTGCACCTATACGTTCCTGTGCTCAATTTGTGTTTCGATTATTTACCTTCTGAAATAAAATCTGGCCATGTCTCGCATCATCAGAAAGGGCGTCTCGCGTGCCCCAGGGGGTGCGTGCATCCCAGGTTAAGAGCCGCTGCTCTAGAAATGTTTAAACAAAAACTAGGTCCGCCTTGGTGTGTATTGCCAATATTTAGCTTTTTCAATAAATCGTGAGTGCCCAGAAATATGCCGACAACAACATCGCCATCTCCTGGGCCTGCTCGCAATCCTTACGTCTACACACCTATCAAACTAAACGGTTTACTCCGTATTCTTGTACAGGAGATTTCAAGTCCATACGGCATACAGCCGTTTCAACACGGGCAAAAAAGTGTTTTGCCCATGTTTGTATTTCTCTCTTGTGATGGGAATTTGTTCGGATGAACTTTGAGATTGATAAGGGCACAGGGTAACCAATAAGGTCTGAACTAGTCTGTAATAAGGTAGGGCACTGATAAGGGGTTGGCAGATATGTAGTGGTGAATGTACTCGTGGTGAGTGTAGTGGTGGTGAGTGTACTAGTGGTGTCTATTTTTTGTGTTTCTCCCTTGTGATGGGACTTTATAAGATGAACGTTGAGACGTATAAGGGCACGGGGTGACCAATAAGGTCTAGTCTGTAATAAGGTAGGGCACTGATAAGGGGTTGGCAGGTATGTAGTCGTGAGTGTAATGGTGGTGAGTGTCTATTTTTGTGTTTCTCCCTTGTGATGGGACTTTATAAGATGAACGTTGAGACGTATAAGGGCACGGGGTGACCAATAAGGTCTAGTCTGTAATAAGGTAGGGCACTGATAAGGGGTTGGCAGGTTTGCGTCTAAACCCCCATGGTGAGCCCCCTGGGACTCATCCATATATCGCCTCTGCTCAATGTCCCATTTTCTGGCGATGTCGTTGCACGTCAATTCGGAGTGATTTTGATCGTACTATATGGCCAATGTTTTGTTAAAATCCCCAGAAGTAATAGCGATACGCACACACCCGTTAATGTTGTTCTCTCTGAGAGCCTGGATTTGCGCTTTCCCGCTGCGTGTTGGCACAGCCTACGTAAGGATTACTGATCTGATATTTTACAAAGTTTTGCCAAAAAAGTCACACGC